CAGAAGAGTCAACCCAATGGACCTATGAATGGAAATAGTGGAGAACAAGATAAACGGGATCCATATATGGCAAAGTTAGAGAGACTCAAGCAGAGACCTACTTACACTAAGGATGGAAAGAAGCGCATTCAACCACTCCTTGTGTCCGGAGCGGGTGCTGCAGAGTCATCTCTCCCGCAATCACGGTTGGTAGCAAGCAGTCAAGGAGAGAAGCTTGAAGGTCCCAACTCAATCCTGGACCTTTCTAAACCATTCGATGGTCTTCCAAAAGGTGGTTTAGCAGCACTGTTGTTTGGGAATAAGCGCAAATTTGCGCAGATCGAGGGTGATGAGGAGGGGACTGTTGAGAAGAGGGTAGCTGCGGCTTCTGAAAATGGAGCTATACCCATTCTCGCGAATACACCAGAGGGTCTCCGGCCCGCGCAGCCGGGAGATTCACGAGGTGGTCCTCAATCTACACCCGAATTTATAAGACCTGCTGTGGTTAATCCTTGTATGGCCATTAGCCAATTGCGGCTAGCCGTGCCAAAGATCAGAAGCCATATTTTGCAGGCGATAGATACGTCGGGGAACCCTACTGCTGCTTCAGATACACCGTCAGGCGCAACGAACTCAGGAACCCCACCTAGGCCCAAGGCGGATATCATTTTCGAAGCTCGGAATCCTCCTGCGTCTTCTGGTCGGCATGTTGATCGAGAACCTGTCCGAATTACCCTTACGCGTGGCGATCAGCCGCTGTGGCAGGATTTTATACCTAAAACAGTGCTTCTCGTTACGGGTAATCGAAAACTGTGGGCTGCAGCATCGGAAGATGGCTCTGTATATATCTGGACACCAGCTGGACGGCGGCTTCTCAACGCACTTGTCCTGGAAGCCCAGCCTGTGATTCTAGAGTGCAACGGACCTTGGGTCCTCTGCATAAGCGCTGTGGGCATGTGCTATGTGTGGAACGTAAAAACTCTGTCCTCCCCACATCCACCTGTCTCCCTCGCTCCGACTTTAGATGTGGCCGCGCACACCCTGGCACTCAATGCTACCGTAGCTCCCGCAGTCAATTCCGCGCGATTAAATTCCGAAGGCCGTATAGTCGTCACGTTGTCCAATGGAGACGGTTACAGCTACTCCCCCTCGTTATATTCCTGGCAACGGATGTCTGAGAGCTGGTGGGCTGTTGGTAGCCAGTACTGGAACACCAAAGATTCTTCCGTCGGGAATCTGCAATCCATTACAACCTCCTCTGTATCTTCTTCTGCCACTGCTGGTCCTGGTAACCGCCAAGATGGTGAAGCGCGACCACCGGTCTCTGCAGGGGTCATCCCATTCCTCGAACGAAACACTACAAGCGAAACGCTAGGGCGAGGTCGTGGTTTCTTCCTGCAGCGCTTGGTCAAGATGCTTCTATCCCGTGAAGGCTTTGAGGGCTTCGAGGCTAGCGTCTCTGTCGCCCATCTTGAAAATCGCGTAGCTGCTGCACTCTCTCTTGGCGCCAAGGAGGAGTTCCGCCTCTATCTTTCAATGTATGCTAAGCGCCTGGGGGCTGAGGGAGCGAAGATGAAGGCTGAGGAGTTGCTGGAGAGCCTCCTTGGTGGAATTTTTGAAGACGAGAAGAGTGATGTTGATGAGGATATGCGCGGTAGTGGAGAACCCATCAAGTCCAAGGAGTTATCGCAAACTCAGGGTGGAAGCACAGACTCCGGAACTGGTACTTGGGTTAACGGCTCTGATAGGCTTTGTGGATGGCCAAGGAGAACGCTGTTGAACGAGGTGGTGTTGGCTTTGGGTGGGTTTTTTTCCCCTTCCATTTTTGCATTCATATCTGTTGTTATTATCAATTTTACAAAATTCCTTGTTCACAATCCCCAAGACATAGCGCTCTTTCTTTCTTTATGTTTCCCTCCCTTTGATAAGTTATCGTTCGTTCAAATTCATTGTTCAGACATTTGTCTTTTTACGCTGCTAACTTTTTTGTAGGGAAACATCGAGACCTCCAACGCGTCACCGTTCCGTATGCCCAGCTTCTGGGACTTCTCGATGGCGATCAGGATCAGGAGCAGGCTCAAGATCAGAGCCGGGATCGAGATGGGGAAGATGCAATGGTCACGTAATGTATTTGATTTACTCACTTTTCTATTCTTTTCTTTCTTTCTTTCTTTCTTTTTTTTTTTTTTTTTTTTTTTTTTTTTTTCCCATATTTACCTTTTATCTTTTTCATTGTTGATGCTTCTGACGTTTTCTTTTCCACATTGGAATTAGAAAAGCGGAATATTTGTGTTTCCTTTTATTTATTTTCTTGGGTGGTTTGCTTGCAACTAATTCTTTCGCATGCCATATATTTGGCAGGGATCAAAAACCGGAATGGGATGGAATGGAGGGTGACCGGGAAAGAAAGGTATACCATAATATATATGCACCTTTGTCAGAACTTTTTCTTTTCTTTTCTTTTCTATGTGTATCTTTGTATCCTTTCTTTCCTGCGTCAGTGGACGGCTTTTATCGGCTGCGCCTTTGTGTATACAATTGTACCATTTTGTCCGAAGCTGAGATGTAGTTGCTCTGCACTGGGAACCCGTTGGACGGGACGGGTTAGGGCACGTAGTCCACGTGATTGGACCAAGTACCAACTTGCGGCTAATAATAAAATCTTTGCTTGCATCCCCAACTACAACAACATTCAATTCCAGAACGATGAATAAAAACACATCAATAGCAGAAAAAGCCCAGCTGGAACCACTGAGAGTTAACAATCATTCTTATTCAGCCTTTATCTTACTTAATGCTCGATTCCTGAAGATACATTGGATTAATACCCCTCATCCTTCCTTTCTTCCACTGCCGTCTCTTGCTTCACCTCCGTGCCTTGTACTTAAGGCTAAAATCTTTCACAATTCCGTCCCTCAAGATCTCTCGCTTCCCTTTTGTTTCTTTCAACCCCCAATTTAAACGACTCGCAGCTGGCCCTGCTTTACTATTATCCCCACTCCGCACGACCTCTCACTCTCAAAGCAACTCAATCCACCCTCCCCTTTCCCGCTGCTTGATTTTCTACCGCACTTTTGCCAGTAGAAAGCAGAAAATGGGTCCCAAGAAGGCAGTCAAGGAGGAGAAGATCCCATTAGGCCGTCCGGGGAACAACTTGAAGAGCGGTATCGTACGTGGGGACTACTTACTAATGTCAATTTTGCCGTACTGGTTTTTCTCTTATTCTTGCTTTCACCGCTCCCCTCTCTTTTGCGTTCCTACCCAACTCCGTCGTGTAATGCATATTTTGCGTGCTTTTTGGCGACTTGGTTCACTGACCTGTCTGGCTCTGGCTCTGTTAGGTTGGTTTAGCGAACGTCGGCAAATCGACCCTTTTCCAGGCTATCACTAAATGTTCACTGGGTAACCCTGCAAACTTTCCCTTTGCAACTATTGATCCCGAAGAGGCTCGTGTCATCGTTCCAGATGCACGGTATGATTGGCTATGTGAACATTATAACCCAAAGTCGAGGGTACCGGCTAACTTGACCGTATATGATATTGCTGGTCTAACTCGCGGTGCCTCCACTGGTGCCGGCCTTGGAAACGCCTTCTTGTCACATATTCGTGCCGTTGATGCCATCTTCCAAGTTGTTCGATGTTTCGACGACGCAGAGATCATTCACGTCGAAGGTGATGTAGATCCCGTGCGGGACCTCAACATTATTAGTGAGGAACTACGGATCAAAGATATTGAATTCGTTGAGAAAGCACTTGAAGCCTTGCGAAAACAAACTCGAAGAGGTGGTCAGAGCTTAGAAATGAAGAAATTGAAAGAGGAGGAGGCTACTGTTGCTAGGATCCTGGAGTGGCTGAAAGAAGGCAAAGATATCAGAAAAGGTGATTGGACTCCTAAAGAGGTATGTCCCGGCTTCTAGCTTAATGTTTCTTTTGCTACAGTTCCCGTTTGGTGCAAATTCTATGATGAACAAGAGCAAAATGCTCGATATAATCCCAGCTCGTTGAATGGTCTCAATTTTATATCTCACGTAGAGGCCATGTTGAGATGATATCCTATCCTGATCCCACTTTCACTGCTATTCTTTGTTTTATATGCCGTATTGAATGTAAACGATGTGTTGCTAACTCTGTCCCGATGACTTAGGTTGAAGTGATTAACCCCCTCTTCCTTTTAACTGCCAAGCCAGTCGTATACTTAATCAACCTCAGTGAAAGAGACTACATCAGGCAAAAGAATAAATACCTGCCTAAGGTTGCAGAATGGATTAAAACCAACTCCCCTGGCGATCCTATAATTCCAGTCTCGGTCGCTTTTGAAGAGAGGTTGACCCGTTTCAAATCCGATGTCGAAGCGGAGGAGGAATGCAAGAAGCTTGGAACCAAATCTGCCCTCCCCAAGATTATATTAACCATGCGACAATCCCTTAAGCTTGGCAGCTTTTTCACTACCGGCGCTGATGAAGTGAGACAATGGACCATCCGACAGGGTACCAAGGCCCCTCAAGCTGCGGGTGTTATTCACACTGGTAAATCAATATCCTCTCTTCACTCTGTTTGTGTAAAGCCACAGCTTTGACGCTGACAATTTCTTCCATTTTATAGATTTTGAAAAGACTTTCATCCAATGTATTGTGTTCAACTATGATGTTTTACGTGAATACGGAGATGAAGCGGCCGTCAAGGCTGCCGGCAAGGTTCTTACAAAGGGTAAAGATTATGTTGTTGAGGATGGAGATATTATCCTGATCAAAGCTGGTGCTGCCAAAGCATAAGCGTATGGAATTTGTTATTTTCTATAACTGCAGCAGTCGGCGAACATATTCTATAGTTAAAACGCGATTATGAATTAATTGCTTATTATAATAACTATATATTCCCACCTATGATTAAGTAAGCAGTGCGGATGGGGATGATGGCCTCGAGCTAACTTACGTAAGTCAATCCGTACGTACATCAGATCAGACACGGGAGATCTTCCAAGTAACCGTTTATTCCAATCTCTATTCTTAAGTCTATTCGCAATGTTTAAAAAAGAGTGAGTACCATATTGTTTTTGTGCGTTTTCCGCGTTTAAATTGAATAATCTGCCCCGCACCATACGACATGAACGGACAGGATACGGCATATTATATGCGAAAGCAACATGTCAGTCTTGACAAATGCCATTTCCAATACTCTCCATTATAGATAGCCCCTCTTTCGTCTTGCCCTGCTCTAAAAATTGTCTATATACAAATAATCTCAAATACCTCTTCCAGTGTCTCCCATGGTGCCAGGTCAAAAGTCAAATCCTCCGTCCAGCGAGCCATCAAACAAAAGCTCGTCGAAACATATCCAGGCTTCGCGCCCTATATCGATGAGATAATACCTAAAAAGGCCTCTCTGGAGGCTGTCAAGCTGTGAGATAAAAACTCGCCCCACAACTACAATGACGACTTCCCTAACCCATTCTTTCGATAGCCACACCCCTGACCGCGTAACACTCTACACCCTCGACTCGCGTCCCATACTCTTCCAATCCCTTGACACACCCCCGATCCCCCACTTACGGGTTCTGCACGCGTTCCCTGATGCCATCCCCAACATAGGCATAGACCGGGGCGCCATTCGTTTCGTCCTCTCTGGCGCTGCGCTCATGGCTCCCGGTCTCATTTCGGCTGGTGGCAGGTTGCCCGATCCTGCGAATAATCCTGGAGACAGAGAATTAGAGGCTGGAGAGGTTGTGGCGGTTAAGGCGGAGGGGAAGGAGGAGATTTGTTTGGTGGGTCGGTTGAAGATGGGCACAGAGGAGATGAAGAAGAAAGGCAAAGGGGTTGTTATGGATGAGGGGCATTATTTAGGGGATGGGTTATGGAAGATCGAGTCTGTGGGGTGAAGGGGTACGGTGGCGCTGGGAGGGAGGAAGTTTCCATGTAGTTTGATTTATTTTTTTTACATTTGACACGGTTTGATTCTGATTTTAATTGGGATGTAGGCGCTCCGATGTTTGTGAAGTGATTGAAGATGTTTCTGTGTTGTATACGCGAGTGAGGGCGAATATCGTGGGATCAAGGGATACAGGAGACACTCGTTGGACCGTAGATCATCCATGCATACTTCCTATTCCTAAAAGAGATATTGGATATGGTGTGAGGGTTGAATGAAACAGAGTAAATAATCTATGGTTGACGAAATAAGTAGCATCTACAATCGTAGCCTAGTTATATTATTAAGTAAATGAGATATCAACATAATATGCAGGTTAAGTACTTAAATAACATATTTCGATTTGTATATTACAAGAGCCCATGCTCTTTGACCTGTGTGGCTCCATTAGCAGATACTTTTGAGGGTTAAGGGGTTTATGTGTAGAATGAAAGTAATAACAGGCAAATAACCTTTCAAATTAACAAACCTCTAAAAGTTTCCCAGCCATACTGCAATGAAATATTAAATTGAATAGGCTATTGATAAGAATACAAGCAACCAAAGTCCCAAGAGCCAAGCGCATATATAAGTGTAGCGATAAAGTAGCATTCACCACAGAAATAGATGAGAGAAAATGTGATGCAAAGAATGGATAAAAAGATAATAAAGTATCAAATTAGGTGCTGCCTTTTGGCGATGGCGATAAAGATGTGAAATCCTCCCCGGCACTGCTTCCGTCATCGTCGGTATGCTCAGCCTTGGATGGTGACAGAGTCGATGGCGATAGAGTTGTTGGCGTATTGGACGGAGATAGAACACCATTGTTTTTCCTCCCGACCCTTTGGCTTTCGATAATATTTGGAGAGAGTGACGTGGGATTTTGCTCAGGTAGGGTGAGAGCTAACCCACGCAATGTTCCGCTGGGTCCCGAGTTTGTGTTCCCATTCAAAGGACTTGGTGAGGAGCGATGATTCCTGTTCCTCAAACCTACGTTAACAACGGCTCGTTCGAGCATTTGCCCAGACCTGTCTAGGGCGATTAGAAAACGTGCTAGCTCTCCACAGAGTTCCCAGTCGCCTTTTTGGGAAGCCAGTCTTAGAAGCCGTACGACTGAATCTTCGATTTTACCATCAGCGGCTTCATCTTCTTGCTCATCGAACGATTGAAGTACCAGTAAATAACCACCAGCTGTCTTCAGGGAATTTAATTTAAGTGCTTGTTCGAATAGCTCCTTTGGAGGAGGAAGGTGAGCGAACAAGGTACGCCATGACCGAAACTCTGTTTTCCGGGTACACTGAACAAGAATTTCAAGATAAATATCGGTTCGTATGGCAGATTGCAAGAAGGAAAGCACTGTAGGAAGCAACTGGTGATTGGGTGTGCCATTGTGCTGTGTTTCGCGATCCTGATTGTCTACCTCTTCGTCCAGCACATGGTGCAGTAGCATTTCTAATGCATGAGGGAAATACGACAAATGTGAGTAATGGTGGCAAAGCGAAAGAGCTGCCGGTGTGTCAAGCTGAGTTAGGCTATGTTGAAGAAGATATGGTAGGAATAGTTGTGTCTAAAAACAAGTCAGTCCCTAGAAAGTTTTAGTTTTAATGTACGGAGCACTTACTCTAATTGCAAATCGAAGGAGAGAAAATGTGACATCTCGTCTCTGAATCATTTCAGGCTCCGCTCCAAGTACAACCCCTTTATTAAGAAGTATAGATAATGGGTAAAAGTCAACTGGGATTGGCAGGGGCTTCGCCGTTTCATTAGGGGTACCCTTGACTGGTCGGAGAACGTCCTGAACGTCGCTCCAAACAAGCAAATCTTTACCACAAAAGATCCATAAAGAGTCTCTTAAAGAGATATCAACTAGTGATGCAGTATTCGGGGTTCCAACTGGAGGGATAGCTGGTTCGTCTGAAAGTGGAGCAAAGTTGAAAGACAGTTGATCACGCATCAAAATATAGTACTCCGCATCATGAGCAACAATGCGCATGTCGTATTTTAAATCGCCCGTTTCTGAAACTGAAGGCTGGAGTAACACAAGTTTTCCGTCTACCAGGAATAGAACTGAAGCCACAGAAACATCCTGGGAAGGGTCGCCATCTCCTGGAGTCTAGTTAATTTCGTAGGACAAACATGAAGAGAAGGTTTGAAATGGCCACTTACGAAGCTGACTATCAGGAAGAACCCAGCTAATAGCCCGGACGCGGGTTGGTGCTCTAACGATGCCGTGAAAAGCTATCTGGCCAACTTGAACGAGACTGATTCTCGTTTGGGTAGCGTTTATGACATAGTGATACAATATGTTGTCGTAGGTGTAAACTAGAAGCGAGTCCTCACCAGAAGGCCCGATAAATACGGCAGGAGCAGGGAGAATTTCTGTGTATAGCACAGAGGAACTGTTGAGAGAAAGTTCACGGGAATATAGTCGTAGCTGTGCCTGTCAGTTTTAAACTCCGCGGTGAGATTCTGAAAAAAACGTACCTCATAAGAGTTATCACATTCAGCGGCAACAATTAAAATATGGCCATACCAACACATACCTCCCTGGACAGCAAAGGAGTCTTCAGTTTTCGGATCATCAAATGTCTTCCATCTCCCACTCTGGACGCTATAATGAGCAAGTCCCCTTCGACCGGCAATTGCCACATATCGACCGTCTTGCGAAGCAATACACGATCGAATTGGCCATTGTGCATGGAGATAGGTAGGGGGGTATTGTGCATGGTGCCAAAGGTAGTCTTTACCCGATATGGTAGTGAAGTCCGGTAGGTCATGGCCGCGATACAGAATGATCTCTGTTCCCGTTTGTAACAGTGCCCTCACTAAGTTTGCTGACGAGAAGCATCCAGTCAGGGAGCTGCGTGCGATTTCAAGCATCCACACATGCCTGTCACTTGGTGCTGTCAGGATAATATATGAGCCCCCACCAACCCAAGAACCCATGGAAACACCGGTCAGCCAATTCTCGCCATTTCTGGTGGCCAGCTCGCGGTCAGAAGTAAAACTCGTCCCACCTGGCTTGCCAAATACACTCCATGTGGTCCACCCATATTTATACCCTGCGAAAAGGCAGTAGCCATCGGGGGAATAGCTCATAAATGATACAGGTCCCATAGAAGTGGGAGAAGCCGGAAGTTCAAGTTTATGGGAAAGGGGGATATTTCCCATATAATCTTTTGCTACGTAGACATATACTTCTCCATTAGCACATGACACGGCAAGAAGCGAAAACCTCGCATTCACCGCCACAGAAAGCGCTTTTTGTCCGTCATTTTCAGGGGTATGAAATCTATGACCCCTGAAATGGCTTTTGGGTTCCCCTAAATGATCTGCTTCGTCTCTAACAAACTGCACAGCATACGTTTTCCCGTCGCTGGTGATCCAAAGGAAAATGTTCATGGCACGGTCGTATACCATATCCACAATGGTAGATTTTTTCGAAATGAATGGGATCCGACTTAACAGCTCTGTGTTTGTCTGACTCCCCGTACTATCGGGAGTCCACCGAATTGACTGAATAGCTGCAGGTTTCACTGTTGCTACTATTAGTTCATTGTCGAGCGCCAACGCTTTACTAATTCCAGCATCGACCTTTATCGCAACCCTAAAACGAATGCTGACTTCTCGAATAGTATCTGTTTCTCCTGTGGAAAAATGACGACTGAAGTGCTGACGACGTGGATGGGACTGGGATGAGAATCGTTGTTGGTAAACATGGGAATTGGCATCTGTTGCAATGGAATATGTGATTAAATATCCGTGGAGAGTCTGCACAACAACAATGGCAGAATCGGGGCGTAGAAGGAGAGTCACATTCCGCCCGTAGTTCTTCAATGAGATTTCGGAGCGCTTAACGGCAGCTACCACGGCTGTTGGCTGCAGATGTGGTTAATATTTTGAGCTCAAATGGAGGCAATCAAATTCATTAACGTACTCTGGTTTGCCAAATTGCAATAGAGGTCTCCGTCATTGTAGCAAACAGGTGTCCACTACGCGAGACGCAAAGGCCGGTAATGGGTTCGTTTGCCCATGTTTCCCGTGTCTTTATCTCGCTCTTCGATCTTTCTCTGGTATGTTCTGTTTGGATATCTTCTTCTCCATCTTCCTGCCGTCTGCCATTATGACCCTCTGCATCATCGTGTACCTCCGGTAGTTGAATGCCTGGACCATTGACCGCGTAGACTCGAGGGACTCCATTTGGCCAGTACATCGCTGGGAATAGCGCCCGTGGCTAGAGTGGAATGAGGATGACGTATCACGTTGGACCATCTTCGGACGAGGGTACCATCATATGTATCGACCTCTAGCAAGCTAGGTCTGACAGGAAGCAGTCATAAACATCCGATTTCTTCCTAGGCGCTGTTCGATGTTGAGTGTGAATGAGTGATCGTAGATCATCAGATCTGAGGTGGAGGATAAGGTAACTAGCGACTGGGGCGGCGAGGTCCGAGAATCACGTGGCAACATCTGGCTTCAAGAAGTATCTGCAGACAATAGAGGGACCAAACAATATCAACGCAAAACGCTTCAGAGGTGATATCGTGTCCAGCAATTCGTACTGCCGAATTCCGTGCAGCTGCAAGGCTTTATTAAGCCCTGAAACTTTCTACAATATGGTAATAGCAAGCCAATGTTTAGGATAATCAGTTTCATTATTCTTTGCCCAATCCTACCCCGCAAAATGAAACTGACCTTTTCATTTATCAGGCGCCCACAGAATCCAAGAAGCGTTTAGCGCTTGCGATAATAGACTTTCTCAGCAGTAGTCTGAAAGACGGAACCCTTACGGTAGAAGATTCTGAATCTATTGAGATTGCGCAGTCTTGTATCGCAGACACGTTCAAGGTGGACCCCTCAGATAAGACTGCTATGCAGGATGCGCTTGGAGGCCAAAGTCTTGCAACCATTTACAGCGTATACGAGAAACTTAAAGGAAAAGGCTCCGTCCCGGCGCCCAACTCCGCGGGTGACTCAAAGCCAACTGAGTCGAAACCAGCAGCAGATTCGCAGATTGGCACGCCAAATGAAGAATCCGAGAAGTTAAAATCGCAGGGTAACGCAGCAATGGCCCGCAAGGACTACTCTACCGCGATTTCCTTTTATACCCAGGCTCTCAGCATTGCACCTTCGAACCCCATCTACCTCTCCAACCGCGCAGCCGCCTATTCAGCTTCGGGAAACCACAACAAGGCCGCGGAAGACGCAGAGGTTGCCGTGGCTGCGGATCCAAATTATGTCAAGGGTTGGGGCAGACTTGGTCTTGCTAGGTTTGCCCTTGGAAATGCCAAGGGTGCTGCTGAAGCATACCAGAAGGGCATCGACGCGGAAGGAAACGGTGGCAGTGAAGCTATGCGTAAGGGACTGGAGACTGCAAAGAAGCGTATCGAGGAAATGAAGCAGGAAGAGAATGAACCCCATGCGGAAGAAATTGATGAGGCTTCTGGTGCCTCTCGTGGAACTGGGGGTGCGGGCGGAATGCCAGACCTTTCAGCTCTTGCAGGAATGTTTAGTGGTGGAGGAGCAGGAGGAGGCGCTGGTGGCGGCATCTCTGATCTCAGCTCAATAATGAGCAACCCAATGTTTGCCAGTATGGCGCAGAATCTCATGAGCAACCCTGAAATGATGAGCAATCTTATGAATAACCCACGCATCCGACAAATGGCGGAGAGTTTGGGTGGAGGCGGTGCTGGTGGCGAGGGAGGTGGCCTTCCCGATATTGCTAGCATGATGAATGATCCGAATATTGCTGAAATGTAAGTCTTGCTTTGACTATTCATATAAGCTGCTTTTAAAGCGCTAACCGAATCAAATAGGGCAAGAAATCTGATGGGTGGAGGTGCTGGTCGTGGTGCGGGAAGAGGTTCTTGATGGGATCAACTTTCAAGTGGCAGGTTTGGTACTGCCGGGTGCATCTGCTGGTTGGAGCATTTTCTTGGGACCTGTTTGATGCAAAGATTGCTAAATTGCTATTTTACGGCATATAATTACCCAACAATATATGTATAAAACCTAGGATTTTTCTCCACTATCTTGTCCTTTGTTGTGTAGTTGAGTAAACCTATTGAATAGCATTGTTTTCTGCGAGCGGGGGATAGGCGCAAGAAGTCCGCAGGTCTAATGGGTCGAAAATACATATAAATTCAAAGGCACTTGGTCTGAGGGAATGCTAAAACCCAAGGGAGAGGAGAAAGAAGGCTAAGAAAATCGTTTGATAATCTCTTGAACAGGCTTTCTCAACCCAACTAATCCTGTCTCTGTGCAGGAAATGCAACATGAGAAAACAAGAAATCAAGGCTATCATATTATATATACAATGCAAGAGAAGAGAGGGTGGGTGGGTGAAATAAGATTGCTGAAAATACATAAGATAAAAGCTGGGAAACGGAAATCGAAACAGATTTGCAATTAGATTTATCCTACAACACATGTCTATAAGACTCCAACCCATATAGTAGTATACAACCGGGAAGAAACAAGGGGAAACAAAGGAAATTGGGGGGAAATAAAACATATACGTCAAAATATGATCGATTGTAGATCGTGGTGCATAAACAGATGTTCGGGGAGGGTGAATGGCGGCTGGTTTAGGAGTTGCAATAAGGGGGATGAATATGAATATGTCGAAACGTTGATAAGATAGAAGGGGAGGTCGAGTTGAAAAGATCGTTTAAATGTAATCACGACCTGCTTTTTGCAGCTCGATCATTCTCCATCCTCGAGTTTCGGGGTTGTTTACATCTTCTGGAATTCTCGTCATGCCAATGGCGTAAGTGACTAGTTGGACTTTGTCCTCCATGCCAGCGGCAAGCTCGTTGGTTTTAGCATTGCGATAGACATGTACTTCCTGCGTTCTGCAGGTGATGATAAAAACTGGGATGTCACCTGGCTCCAGCATACGGGCATGGGAGATATCGACATGGCGGATATCGAGAATTCGCCCATCCGATTTTAGTCCAGCTGTCGTGTATTGCTTGGCAAGCGCGGCATAGACGTTGTATTGGGCCTCAGAAAGCCAAAGTTTAAGGGTTTCAATGTCTCCCTTGACGTATGCATCCAGAACCTCGGGCAACATATATTCTCGCAATTCCCGCAAGAAAGGCTCAATTTGGAAACTGGGATCCATTTCTCTGAATTTCTTGATGACCATCGCGGTCTCATTTTCTGCGAACCAGCCGGCCACTCGATTTGAAATGCTCCAAGCCGTGCTGACTAGTGGATTGTCGGATTCATTATATGTATGTTTAAGGTTGAAATACGATTGCATAAGACGACTCGACTCTTTGAATTCCCGCCATGACTCTTTCCAAGCTGCGTCTTTATGAAGAGTGACGTTGGTACCCGCACTGCTTCTGTCAGTAATATATTCAGGAGTAAACTAGAATGTCAGTAATAGCGAGCTCACTTTGGATCTTCTTCCATCTTTTCTGCCTTGCGGCGGCCAGCTTTGGCCTCGGCAAGCTCTCGAAGCTCTCTTTGCTTTCGTCGCTCCTCTTTGTCCATCCATCCTCCATAGCGGGAGCTACTCCCATCATCTATAGCTTCTTTCACTCCCCCAACAGCAGTTTTATATGCAGTAGTTTCACGAACCGGCCTGGTAACCTTTTCAATGCCCTTTCCGGTGGCAGATACTCCGGATCTAAGTCCCTTGACAACTGGCGTTTCCCAAGTCCACGCAGCCCCCTGCCCTATCGCCTTTCCGGTAGATTTTAAAGCCGAGGAAGTCTTCGAAGTGGCGGCACCAGAAGCAGCCTCATATGCAGCTCGAGCTCGTTTAACCGATTCACTCTCAGTAAACTGATGCGCGGAGGACGCCAACGCTTTCGTCGATTCATTCCATTCCTTTGAGGCTTTGAACTCGGACCGAAGGGTCTCAGTGAAGACCTGCCATGGAGATTTGTCCCCATGGGGTGGTGGTGGAGGTGGTTCTTCTTTCTGTTTGCTCCCTTCCTGGGAATTGTCTCCTTGCTCCTCTCCCTCATTCTTTGCCTTTTGCGACGATTCGTTTGAATTGTGATTCTCTGTGCTTGATTGCTCCGACTCCTTTTGCTTCTGCTGCCAAAGGACACGACCCGACCGGAACGATCGCCTCGCTGGGAGAACAGCCAAGATTGAACTTATATGAGTGGGGTGCGCATGAACAAAGGAGGAAGAAATGTAAATAGGTTGGTTTAGAGGGGAGGATAGTCCGCGAGATGAAATGGCAGGATAAAGAGTAGCGCTCTGCGTCATTGATCGCCGGGAGATTGCCCACGCAGCATATGCAACGCTATTCCGTAAGAGAGCCGTCCGAACCACACCGGACGGTGTAGATTTAGTTGTGATAAACATAGTCCGTGGGCAAGGTTGGATCATGCGGTTTTAATCTAGCGGTTGAAATCGGCGGATTATACGGACGAAAGTAAAAATAACAGAAACAGCAGCGAGACAACAAATACAATACGAATCAACCTCGAGATCCCCGCCTTGCTGGTTGCTACCTCGTAGGTGTGGGTTTTGTTAGACTGGGGAGAGCAGCGAAGGATGAAAGGAAAATGTTTTTTGACGGCGATGTCCACTTTTGGGAGTTTGTCTGCACGCCAAGGCCAAGGAGAAACTTCCGCGCTCTTCGATAAACCTTTTCAGCGCTATTCCTTAACTACTTAACCGCCACAAACCTGGAGAAACAGACAGAAGAGACAGACATACAATGACAGTGCAACAGTGCTCTTGAGTGCTCTTGATAGCTCCTCTTATATACTTGCATGCGCGTGTTGGCAGCATCGCGTTGACGGTGACAAGCCACTGGTCTGCTCTCCTGAAGTTCCCTTTGAAGGTATCATTCGATTAAATATCCACATCTATTTTACTGGTTCATTTTTCACTAATATCGATGTGGTGCAAGCAGTCAATGGCCCTGCGCGATTACCTGTTCTACCTAAAAGAAATGGAGCCTTCTATCGTCAAGGGTCTGTCCACTGCGGCACGGTCTATTCGACATTCGAGCCAGCAATGCCTGTGTCAATCCCAAGTCCTCCAGCCGGCGATGTTTACAAAGCAAGTTCGAGATATGTCTACCGGCGAGAGATCTGCCTTGTCGAAGCTCTCAGCGTCGACCAGAGCCTCAAGAAACACAATTACCGATTCTGCGTCCATGCACTTCCGTTTTAATCAGTTTCTCTACAATCCCTATCCTGTCCAAGACCCTCCACACCACCTTCACGTCTATTCGCACAAACATAACACCCACATCACCCTAACACGACCAAACCGAGAACCCTTGCTCTCCATGAGCTGTGGAAACATCGGTTTCCGCAAAGCACAACGTTCCAAATTTGACGCAGCGCATCAACTTGCATCGTTCATGATGGGCAAAATCCAGGAAGAAGGACATCTGCTAAACATGAAGCGGCTGGAGGTTGTTCTCAGGGGTTTTGGCCCTGGTCGAGAAGCATTCACAAAGGTTCTCCTCGGCCCGGAAGGAAAGAATATACGGAATTTGGTATGCAGGGTTACGGATGCTTCTCGATTAAAATTTGGAGGTTGTCGGAGCAAAAATGTGCGGAGGTTGGGTTGAGCTCGGTTTTAGTGTTATCCCCTTCCAATATATATATGCGTATTGCCCACCGGAAGGATGTTGGAGATCCCGTTGGGAACCCTTGTCATACGAACGGGGCCAGACGGAGGAAGATGCATGTCTTCAGATCATCCATTCAGGTTAATGAGGAACCATCGAGGCCTTCCTGATGATTCAAGTCAAATGGACCAGAGCTGCATATGGGTTTGACAGAGAGTGTATCGTCCTTTCATTCTTTGTATCTGTGTATCTATATACATGTCGTGCTATAACCTGCTATATCTTTTCCTTGATTTCTCCAAACCTAGTTCAGTTTTACCAACTTTGCTATCAATAACATTTTCAACGAGATCGTCCACATGTTTCTTTATACATATCTTCACCGCATTATCTGTACAACTCCGCCGTAAACCCGTCCTTCAAGGCTATTATTCTCTGCGAATATCCCCCTGCTCTAGACCGGCCCCGGGCTGGGAAGTGCTCGTAATTCCCTAATGTGTACTAGCACAAAGCTGGCATAAATGCTCGCTGTCACGTGCCCCAGTTACTTCAGATCTTCCTCCATGAAGGCATCAACCTAATATCTTCAACAAGCTCAACAAGAGGTTATATATTTTACAGGTTGCTTCGGAAATTATTTCTATTCGTGTATACAGTGCTATAGCTCTCCGCCTTCCCAAGTTGTGTGTTAAACCATATTGTTCTCCTGTTGACCTAATCGCCGCCTTCCAATGTTCTGTACCAAATGCGCCAGGATCGCACGCTGAAGATATAACAACCCAAGAACACGCAAACCCACTCCGGCCTTGTCCCCGTGTAATTTGATGTGTGGCGGGGCTCGACCGCCGGGCCATCCAATGCTGCGTGGATGCACCCATTAAACCCTTTTCTCCGTGCCTTCTTCCGCAGTACTATTCCTGCACAATGCGCCCCAATTCAGAACCATGTATTTACACACTAACTCAACCTCCTTTCTTGGATTTCTGCGTTTCTCTTTCTAACGGATTCGAAATTAGGTCCTTCTTGTACCCATTACTGAATCGCTTGTGAATGCGCTAGACCGAGATTCGAACCTCACGTATGCCGATATTGTTGCGTCAGAGGAGTTCCTGGGAAGCCATGTCTTGCGCATCAATACCCCTATCGGCTCGCCTGCAAGTAAGGATGGATTAAGTGTACGGGATAGTCGGGGGAAGGCAAGGCAAATTACGACAGTAAATGGCCGGACTGTGGTGATTAAGGAAACATTGGTGTATAGCAATAAAGGTAGGTTGAAACTCACTTCAAAATCATTACATGACTGTTTTTCACAAGAGGCTAACTACCATAATTCAGGGTTTAAGACGTTGAACCAAGCGCAGCTACTGTCAGATATACTTTACTATACCTCAAACAACGAATCGCAGCCATGGCTGATATATTATATCTCGCGCCCGTTAATTGGCACTTTCCAGCCTATCAGGATTTCCCCTGCTGTTGTCCCCGGCCTTTTGCCAAAACCTGCGGAATCCCCTAAAGGAGGAAATCCAAATGAAAACCACTCGTCGCATTTTTCGAAGAAAGAGATAAAGTCGTTTGCAGAATTGCTAACAAATTTCCCAATGATTGCGCGGCAAATGCAACCCGGGTTGGAAAGGGTGTTTCGAGAGTTTGGCAAAGAGCTTGGGAAACCATTGCCGCCACCACCGTCCTCCGTATTATCTCCAGCTATGTCAAGCCTGGAAGCGCATGACGAGACCACGGAACCTGAACCTTGGCGAAGTAGATCGCTTGCAAATGTGTTGCCGATAAACCAAGAAAGCCTTCCTTTCAGCTCTTCAGACCATTTTGAAGACGACGAAGATCTTTTGAGGCGGGCTTTAGAAACAGCGGTTACCACTGCAATTGATCTGTTTCGACTAGTCGATAAGCAGCAGCTTTCACTGTTAGGGGCAACAACCGATTTAACGGGCCCCCTGGTTGAACGCCTCATCGAAAAACATGTGGCACAACAAGTCCATGATTCATTACTATTTCCTCGACTTTGTGGCTATCGCCAGGGTGAAGATGCAGAGTTAGATGCTCGTATTCGCCAAATGGAGAATATTGATGTTTCGCAAATTGGGATTGTTATTGAGGGTGGCCGCCAAGGGAAACAGGAGCTCATTCACCGTCTTGAAAGAGGCGTGGATGAATTTCGAAGAATAGCAGATGCAAGATGTCCTCAGGACATGCTCGAAATTTTGCTGGCAACAATTAAACTCGTGACGGTACTGGAAACCCCTTCCTTGCCAAATAACGAAGATTCATTTGGCCACTCCGAGAAACAACATTCTGTGCTTGCAATGAATGCAGATGTTTTAGTTTCCTTATTACTTGTGGTTATTATCCGGTCACAAGTTCGAAACCTTCAAGCCAGGCTATTATACATGCAACAGTATATCTATACTGATGATGTTGAAAGTGGAGAATTTGGATACGCTTTGAGCACTTTCGAAGCCGTTTTAAGTTACCTGTTGAGAGATTCAAAAGCTCTTAGGCGAGCAAGCGCTCGAAACAAACGACTTTGGACCGCTACAAAAGCCGGAAGGATTTCGGAGATAAAAGCAATACTAGATCCAGATAGCCTCCAAGATACCCCTGCTGACGATAATGGCGATGAAGACGGGATTCCGAGTTTAACAAACGTCGAAGACTGTGACACCTCGCAACACATATCTACTCAAAATTCATATATGAATGGCACTATTACCGAGCCAGTTTGTAAAGACCGACACCCAACGCCTGAAACACCATCACTTTCTCACGTTTTCCCCTTTCAAACTTGGTCTAGAACCTCTCCTTCAAAACCCCATACGCAAACGCGAAAAAAAGTTTCCATGGATATGCGGAGTCTCTCAGAGTCATCGACAGTGTCCATTCTTTCTCGAACGACAACAATTGGTTCAACAGCCAGCGCACTGGAAGGAGATACGTCCATTGAAAGCCTAACAAAAACACAGGATCCGGCGGGCGACTCTGTCCCAATGATGGCAGTTGAAGCGCGCCAACCGGAGGCACTGAAGTACTTACTCAGCTGCGAAGAATATTATCCCCTCGAAAGCATACTGGAAGATACCAACAGTGACGGAACGACATTACTGAGCGCCGCTGTGCAGCTTGCACACACCGAATTAGTTGATATAATTCTGGATTTCGTATCGCAAACGTGTGATTCTCGGTACTATGCCAAAGCCGACCGGAGAGGCCGGACAGTCGCTCACTATCTTTTCTGTGTTCCTTCGCTTATGTCTCGATTGGGGTGCGCTCTTCCATGGCGACAAAAGGATAAAAATGGACAGACACCTCTTTTTGCCCTCTGCAGGTCGTATGACCATCCCGACTATAGTTCCATGGTAAATGAAGCATTAACAGTCGCACAAAAAGCACAAGGCGACGGCAAACCTCTGAGGCTAGAAGACCATGTTGACGGGAAAGGAAACACTCTCTTACATGTTGTTAGCGATTCACGGATAATTGTTAGGATCCTCAAAGAGTGTGATTGTGACCCCAATGCTACAAACGATAAAAAATTTACGCCATTAATGATGGCGAGTAAATACGGCCGTGTTGATCTAGTGCGAATATTTTTTGGAGATCCACGAGTCGACGTCCATGTCCGAGAGATGCGAGGCCTCACTGCAGTCGAGTTAGCGAAGGACGACGAAGTCCGCAACCGAATTGACGATTTAATACTCTTCTCTAATGCCCCTTCTTCTAATAGTGACCCTTCAGGGAGGATCACAACAGTTGTACGATCGTTGTTTGTCGAAGACGCTAGTGTCCGTTTTATAATTAAATCTGGTGCCCCCAGCCTTGAAAGATCATCTCAAAGCGCATCACCGCAAGATGTCACGGCATACACAATAACAACCTGTCGTCGGAGCATAGCCGATTTCGAGAATCTCGTAAAGTTCCTCAAAATTGAGCACCCAGCATCATACATTCCAGAACCCCCCGAATTCCGCACCCCGTTTCAAATACCATCAAAACCTTCAAGAGCTGTCCTACATGAAGTTCAGGAGCGTCTAGACCTGCTTTTAAAAATCCTTCTATCCCATCCTACATTCTCCACCCACGAGATGCTCTGGGAATTCTTCCTCGTCCCTGAAATGCAAACGGAGATGATAGAAGACAGATCCCGTCGAAAAGCTGAAGCACTTGCAGAGACAATTGCCGACGACTACAAACCAGTAACTAAAGAAGGGATCCGTGACGTTGAGCAGATTGTGTCTCATGCGCAGGACGCAGTCAGGGCCGTCAACGCTGCCACCCGCAGCCTCATTCGTCGTGGCCACCTTCTCCAGCATGCATATTCCGACTTTGCAGACTCAGTCGTTCTCTGTGCATATGCCATTTCATCACTTCAACCCCCTTCCAATTCCCTGCCAACCTCACACGTGGAAACCTTTGCCCGCTACGCCGCCTGCATCTCCACATCCTCCATAGATTCTTCCCCATTAGTGCAATTCCTCATCACCCTGACATCATCGCACAGTACCACAATTGCTGTCCTAGAAGCCCTCGCGCGACCAGGAAAGCTCATCTCCAATCTCAACACAGAAATTCGTGACCTGACAAGGGCACATTCATCGCTTTCGTTTTCGTCTGTCCCGCGGAAATTCAACTTCCCGGGTCTGGAAGAATCGCGACAAAAATCGATGCGCGATCTGGAACAGAAAATCACAGAGTCGACGGCCGAGGTTGAACAGTTGGAGAAGGAGATATCGTGGAATAAGGATGTGGTTGTTGGTGAGCTTGCAGGCTGGACGTCGTGGAGGGAAAAAGTTGGGAGGGACGCCATTCGGGCTTTCGTTAAAACTACGCTGGTTAGGGAGGAGGAGAGATGTAGAGGATTAGAAAGGTGTTTGAGGAGTGTTAGGGGTGAATAGGCCAAGCAATTATTAGCGTTGCAGGGGGAAATAATGGATGTTGATTTCTCATTTCAATACTTTTATTAACGTTCGTGTAGGTCTTTTATAATTTTCTTTTGGGCTAGGTACGAACCTTTGGAAGCGAAAATTTGTTCTTCCATTCCTCACGCGTTGCTTCTCCCCCACCAGTGTGATGTAATTTCTTTTGCTATTTTTATTGATTATGAATGACTGTCAGAAATTTTTCCTCATCGATACCTTGTCCTTCTGATCATATATGACGGCCATATATCTAGACCGTTGGACTGGTTAAGGTCTTCCACATGAAGGTTTTGTATTTGCTGCGTCATACCGAATCTAGTGGTGTTGCACATAACAAATTTCGAATTTGTTTTCACTGCCTCATTTCATTTCTCCAGTTATACTGTAAACCCCACAAACTCGCCATATCGGCCCCTGGAAACGTCCAGGAGAGAACACATGCGTTTATTTATGTACAGTGGCACACCAATCACCACCCATGTTGCAACGAGGCGCAGATGCAAGTTTGAATAGCAAGAAGGAAAAGGAATAAGTTTGTATATACACTCTGAACTCCAACGCAAAATGCGGAAAAGCAGAAAGAGCAGATTCCAAAATCCCTGAATCAGTTGTGAATAGATAGATACATGCCAACGAGCGGACCAGAGTGGGTATATTGCGAAGAAGGACAAGAATACTAATATTATAAAATAAGGCGACAAACGAGACATGGGTAAACAGATATAAATGCTTCGACAACCAGTAAATGCCTGTCGTTAGTTTTCTGGGCGATGTGAATTCACCTCCATTACCCGGGAACACGCAGAGCGGAAAAGCATCCTTCATCTCCCTCCGCGGCTCAAAATGTCACGGAAACTGAAAGAGGCTGTGCCGCCTAGTTCTCTGAACGCCCTCACACCCGCGATGGTGAAAAGCTGGTACTTTCGGAAATATCTTCCGATACAGCTGAACTAGGCCGGATACTTGAATGCGCATTTTGTGGCCCATGGATTGTTAGAGGCATACTGCTCTGTCTACCGAATGGGAGACTGTCCGTCTCATCGTCCTCAATGTCAGAAACATCGTAGTGGCTATCAAAATTGGCGTTGTTTGGATATGACACATATTGCCAATTGTAGTTTGCATTTCTCTCTTCGCGGTCACTGCTGTTGTTGTTCCTGCTAATAGGGCCCAATAAGCTACGACGGACGTTGTCTCTGGACTCGCGACGGGATCTATAAGTTGCGAGCGGTCTTGCTGTTGCTACGGTTGCTATGGGTTCCTGCTGGGACGCAGGAGGGGCTGGGGGAAAACGTTCCTGAGAAGGTGATTCTTCTGTAACCCTTGGGAGATTGGTGAACGGCTCTGAGAGGTTCGAGGGTAAGCGGTTTTGAGGATCTGATGGATTTGACCGCTGTATTGAGCTGCTGGGTGAGTGACCAGGATAGGGATCGCCTGTGGCAAGAGCAGCATAGAAACGCCTTGAGAGACGATGCTTTTGACGTCGCGTCTGTTCTGACGCGCTGTCCGCTGCGTTGGATGGGGTAGATGCACGAACCCAACTAAAACCAGGCGATTGGGCAGGAGGAGGCTGCTCCGGTGTCAATTGATGCACAATAGATTCCGTTTGAGGGTTCCCACCCCCTCTCATCGAGGGAGTGTCATATGGCGGGGGTGGCATATTCAACTCATCGCTCATTTTCTTGCTGCGCGAACGTCTCCACGCCATGAAGGCGAGGTAAGCTACGGCAATTAGAGCAATCCCTCCAATCGAACAACCCGCAATAATGGCGCCTGAATCTTTTCCAGCCTTTTTCGACCCAACGGTGGTTTGAGTAGCCAAAGGAGTGGAAGAAAGTGTGGAAGTACGGGATGTAAATGAAGTCTTAGTCGCGGCTGTAGTCCTTAGAGCTGTTAACGTTGCGGTTGTTGTCGTAGCGGGCGCTTCAGTACGATCCTCGTTGGTTGTTGTAGGCTCGTCTTCCCAGATAAGAGAAGGACCAACGTTATCGGGAATGAAAGTAAATATGGCAGGTTTTGTTATGGATTCCTCTTCCAAAAATTGTCGTTTTCTCCAATTTCTGCCAAGGGGTAATCGGTACCTTTTGTCATTTTTTGAGGGTCCGTTCGAATTAGAGAGTTGTCGCCGCTGCCTCTCTGTATGTAAAATTTTTAATATCTTAACTGGCTGGGGTGTAGGCGATACTAGAATACATTTCCCCAAAGAGACCCCAGCAACAACCTCTACCTCCCAAACGAGGGGATTTTGACAGGGAGGAGTTGGAGGGAGAGGGAAATCCGCATGGCTTGCACATGAGAAATCAGATAGAAAAGTCCAACATGAGATCAGCAGGATATAGGTGGTCGGAAGCCTCATGGCGATATCCCATTAAGGCTAAGCCAATCCTCAAGTGAGCAACCCAAACTACCAAAGCGGTGGTTATCAAGGATTGAGGAGGAGCGTGCTCCTCGGCAATATGGTCACCCTCACTCTGGTTGCATGCAATTTTATGTAGGTCGCGGTTTCAACCAACTTTTCCTTTCCAAAGTTGCATCCCAGTGAAGCGCTACAGAGTAGACGTGATGGCCTGGGGATCAAGCCAATGGGTTATAAATAGCAAATGTTGGTCTGACTAGAACAATTTCATCGGCTGGATATGCGCGGACTGTGACCTTCTGTGAGGGAAGTTGAAGGGTCAACCCTGACAGAAGAGAAGGAGAGCTTGTTGAACTTATCATAGAAAGGTAAATAACTTTTGAATTGGTTCCTGAATCTGAGATTATGTGTTCCATTGTTATTTACCAAGCTGGAAGTGTTTCAAGATTTCCGGATGAACACAGCCTCGTGCAAGGCTCCAAATTCGTAGTTATCTAGTCCGTCAGAAGTGATATGGGGATCCTCCAATTGGACCCCCTTGACTTTTCCGAGCTTCTATTTTTTGATTATAAGTTACCAAGGTCGCTTACCCCAGAATTTTGCCGGGATTGGCACTCTAGTGCACTCTTTCATCGTTGCTGTTCACATTTCTGATCAATCAGAACAGCCACATTCTTAGCTGCGCATTATGCCCCTTTGGCCGTCCAGTCAAAGTTATCCAGGCATTTTTCAACAAGAATGTGGCCCAAAAGGCTCACTCATCATTATGTGCAGGGGGGAAAAACATCTCTTTCAGCACAATTTTCTGAATTCCTTGATCCATGGAATCTGTCTGTGGCTATTGTCTTTGATTGATAAATCACGGGTAGGATTGCTGCTGGGCTGAGAGTGAGTGGAGTTCCTTCGCACTGAGTCAAGGTATTTTTTGGCTGTTAGTTAAGCATAGATAGAGCAAATGAGCTAAGGATCAGCCGGCTGGATTTCCGAGTACACGAGGGACTTCGCCCTCCTTGGACCTGAAGGACCTGAAACAGATCGTAATCTTGATACCTATCAGAGATAGCTGAGAGCCCGATGGTGCACACAATATGACCCGACTGGAATTGACGCAAAATTAAACAGAGGCTGAGGGTGCGAGAAAATACGAGAAATCCTCGTATTCTGGTCGACAGGTCCAAGTCACGTGTAATATATGACTAAGCGCCCATAGCAGGACATAATCACGTGATATAAAGCTGTTTGGCCTGTTTGTTTTGCCATCAAGAACAGGCTAACAGCCGTTAAACTACGTCATCGTCTAGCTCTGATAGTCGACATCAGGTTTCATAATTGTGCTGCTGCCTTGACACTTGTCTGAACATGAAGGGCTCGATATAAAAAACACGGAAAGATTCGTTGATATTGATAACTACTCTCTGGGTATATCCAAAACCGAACCTGTATTAACATCCACTGGACTATCTATCAACCCCACATTTTAAACAGATATTAAATTCTGATATTAGTTAATTACCCGAACCAAAGTCTCTTCGTAACTTCTCATCATGCCTCTCGTTGTGTCAAACGTCAGCAATGACCAGCAAGCAGACTGGTCAACAAAACTGCTCGGCAAGAAGCTAACGCAATCAACATCAGACACAGTGGTAGGTTGTCGAGGAATATTTCCCCATGCGTCCCTCACCTAAACTGATAAGGCATGTTCCTCTGCTCATCTTCTGTCCCTAGTCATTCGCAAAGAAAGATCTGCCCCCTTCCCACCGTGTGGTTGAACCGGGAATGATGATGACGATGGATCATAAACCAGAGAGGTAAGGGTCTGCCTGTTCTTGATTGTTTGATTGATTGTTGCTGTGTTCGCCTCCGCTACCACGGTTTTGATACTCCCGATTTCTGTCAATTTCGACGTTGTATCTCCATTACCTCGACTAAACCTTGAATGCTAATTCTTATATTGATAGGTTGAATATACATGTCAACGAGGACGGAACGGTAACGAAGGTGAACTACGGCTAATGGGGAATATTTGATGGCTGAGTGTGTGAAGAATTTTTTTTTTAACTTTTTATTAATTTTTTATGCAATAAAGGCAAAGATTGCGAAAATTACATGGTTTTGTTATGATGATATAAAACTTGGGCGCTAGATGATATTCAGGAGGATGGACCTTTTTAGCTTTCACAAAGGGTGATGACTTTAAATGAACATCATTTGGCGTCCAAAATATCATTCGTCTATTTGATTATCGATACGGACTTTCCATCCATCACTCGACCCTTGGGAGATTAAAAAATAGCTAGCTCGTTGCTCATAGTTCATGCTGACGTGTGCCTTGTAAGCTCATACAAAGAGTGCCTTCTTAAAAAACATTATAAACCCTTACCATTTCACACTCCTTCACAACAGCTGTATCTCTCCCTTCATCACCATTAGCGGTGGCATTTTTCTCTATCACAGTATATGCCTGGCTTCACATCAATCATTCCGATCAACCATTGACTAAGCCTATTTCACGAGCGGGTATGGACTGCGATCGTCACTCCATCGTAAAGACCGCAGGAGATATGAGTGTGGGATCAACTATCCTTTTGCACATCACAAAAACAAGCAAAGCGATGGGCAGGTTATTCGCCAAACAAGGCCATCTTTCGATGTTTCTCAAGGGGTAGATAGCACTGAATATTTGGTCGACACAAGCGATCGTCGATATTCCAACTTTTGGATAATGAATATATCCAACCATGGTCCAGCTTCCAATTTGCCAGAGAGCGTGAAGCCTCCCCTACTACCCTTGTCCCAGAAAAGGTTCCAGTGTGTCGCAACCATTCTAGTTACCAATGCACATTGTTGGCCGCAACTGTTACGAGATCCACAATCAATCATTGCCAAATCCAATGGCGAAGATGGCCCTTTGCTGGCCCACAAAGAATGAATGACCAACAAAATCCATGTGTGGCATGTCAAATTTCATGTCAGAAACATATTGTTTTCTCATGGCCAGTTTAGTCATCCACATATTCGAAACATCACCTCTGGGTTTTAAGTGTATGGGCGGAACCTAATCGCTCAGTGCATCATGGAAAAATCGTGGGACGTACGAAAAATTTGAGAGAGTCAAAGGTATTGTTGGACTTGCAAGTTGTTCTTGATAGAATTTCGGAACTTTCAAAAATTCCCTTTCTGTTTCAGGAGGCAAGGCGAGGACTTTAGCCGTATGTTCAAACCCCGCGTGTCCCACGGAGGTTCCCACGCTGGTTCATTAATAATTCCCCCAAGGAAAGTCGGAGCGTCCTCGGGAAGGTACATGCACATGGCAAAACTTGTCCCCGATTTGAAATATTCTGGATTATTCGGCGACCATCTATGGCCTGACGGGGCTCACCAAGACTGAAATTTCCCAGTACCAGCTAGACTCACAATTCATTAATGTATCATTCCCATGTATTGCCCTGTTCACCGATCAATTCCGACGCCGATGGTCATTGATAAACGGCGACTTCGACAACAATGGATGCAATTCAATTCATTTCAGTAGCCTCAACCTACCGCTCATCAATCCCAACACAAAAAAGATCTATAATGGCGAACATTTGGGCTTCATCATCACAGCCGAGAAAGACAAGAATATCAATACCAGCTGTCTGCAGCCATGTTTCATGGTTTTATTTCAACAGGTGTTCGATACCCATGCTCGATCTAAAGGGTCCCATTCGACATCGGGATAACCTTCTCGTTCAACACCATGATCGGCCAATGTCCACCGATCATTGTAAAACAGGTCCTATCAGCGCAAAATTGACGGTTGGTTACCATGGAGATATCTCGCGGATTTGGAGGTCGGCGAAGTTGTGGAATTGGATGATTAGCTATGCCTGATATCGATATCGATTGTGTTAACGCATTTGCTCTCCACAGATGCACGGACCAATACAGGTGGAGGGAAAATTTTGTGATGACACTGATGACGTCCAAACTTGGAAACCGTAGTGGTAGTCGCTTAGGGGAAGACTTTCTGGCAGTCTCTCGCATGGTTGCTCTCTGTCTGTACACCTACGTTTACGCGTGCACTCGTGACGACTGGGTTCGAGTGATGTCAGAGCGGAGATTTTGATTAGATATCAATCACCGTCTGAACTGTAGGCGCCCAATCCAAGCACAGATGAGATGGGCGCCATGGCCTCTTTAGTTATGTCTGAAACAGCTGCGATGTCGTGAACCTTCGTTGTCTCCGACTTTTCGGACTTTTCGGGCTCTTCCGTTTTCTCGGTGATATCGGGCTTCTTTATTCCCATTAACATACTAGCTGAACTGGGAGGCGACTGCGATTGCTTGCCGGGTTCTTCTAGCTGCGCTTTGTTCATGGTAGATGATTTGGCGTCCGTAGATGAACTTTTCTTCCGCTTTACACCTGGAAAAATGTCCTTGTCCTTGGCCCTTCTCCGTTTCCTGGCACTGATGACCCATTGTTCTTCATCTAGAGTTGACACCGCACCTGTACCTACGCCGTTCGAGTTGGAGGTGGTGATGTCAACCAATACCTTTTCTGCCTCCTGGCGCTGACGATGAAAAATTTCTAATTGTTCTCTTGTTTCCCGTTTCAAAGCTTCCTCTTGGGCCCTCGTCGACTCCAGTACCGAATCTAGGAATTCCACTTCATCCTCATCAAGCGCACGAAACTGATTCTTGAGTTTAATGGACTCCTCGAAAGCTTCCTGTTTGGCCGCTGGATATTGAAGACTGGGGATTAGCTTCGGCTATAAAGGTATTTTTGGCGGGGAAATTATATTTACTGACCCTTATTCCGTTGTAGAATCTCATAAAGACTTTTCCCACCATCTTGCTTGGCCTCCTCGGCCTTTCTTCTCCGCTCTGCTTCAAGTTCCTGCTGGGCTTTCACCCACTCATCGTCCCTTTTGGTTGGGTCATCAATGGTGCCTCCACTGACAAAGCCGGAGGACATATTTCATTAACCGCTCATCGACCACCACGCGAGAAACTGAGACCGTTCAACTAATGGCGTAAACTGTTCGTGGGTTAATATAGGACCGAACATGACTTTGATGGGTGGCTGGAACGGAGTGATTTTAATAATCGAGAATATTTTGCTGTGCCACGCGCTTACAATGAATGGGTGAACAAGCCACTAGTTAGTCGCCGCTTTAGTACCTAGTTAATAGAAACTCGACAACCACCCCGCCCAATTACGTCAGCCAGACCTCAGGCAGACATTCCTTGTATATATCCCTTTTCCCATCCAAAATGTTTCTCACCCTTTCTTTAATTATGAACTCGCCAGTCCCTCTGTGCAGTCATGGCGCCCTCCAGTGGCCATCAACTTCTCCCCAAAATATGGCGGGTTGCTAGGTAAGTTTCCAACCACTTGTATTGGATTACGAGTTTCTTCACTCACCGTCGTGATAGATTCGCTTTCGAGAAGGCAACAAGAGTGGTCGAGGCCAGGGTATCTGAGCAGCTCGAATCCTCTCGCCTTGCTTACCAGCCCATTTATGCTCGATTCACCCATCGTCAGGCTATCAATAGGATTGCTGCCACCCGACAGACCCAACGTCGTTTCTATTCTACCTCCCGATCCGCTACCCGGCTCTCCACGCAAGCATTCCAATCGTCCAAGATTTGTGCTGCGGTTAGCCGTCTAACTACTCGAACACCCTTTGCGTCCACGCTGCGTCCGAATCTCACAGGTGGTACGCTTGGTAGAACAGCTGGCGGATATACAATCGGAGCCGGACGGCTTGGCGGTGCAAGATATTTCTCCAATGGCCCAGCAACTCCAGCCCAAGTTGTTCAAAATGTGTCCGCCGGAGTTCGTGCTTTTTGGCTTTCTGGCCAAAGAGTTAGGTTTGATGGTGTAGATCCACAAACTGGTCACAAAAATTACCGAGTAGTCACCGCTCTCCAAGAGGAGACATGTCGCAAAATGCAAGCGATCCCTAGGAACGCCCCTGGCTCCTATGTTGACTTAAAAGTATCCCCAACAATCATCGCATTCAGCCGTCTGACTTCCGCTGCTGATACCGTTGAGGCCGTTAACTTGAATACTGACAACTTGATGAATTTCCTTTCCATCGATTTCGCCCGCGCGTTGAAAGACTTCGCAGCAGTTTTGAATGACTTGAAACGACTTTCCGCGCTGGGTGACTTACCTCTGTCACTGCATGACCAGTCCACTTTACGGGTACAATTTCCTGGGTGTGATGCAGAGTCTGTCGAGCGCTTATGTGACGAAGTTGGCGTGCAAAGAGGGGTGATCCATCAGGACGAGGATTTCGAGATCCAGAATGGCTCTGAGATGGCACTTCTGTTCCCATTTGCGCCCAGCCACATGGGTTCGGAGCCCGAGTTTTCTGGCCGCGGTCTCCGTTATCACAAGTCCCCCGATATGCTCAACTGGCGTCATATGATGTCCTTAGAGGAACTGGAGGAGCCGTCCCATTTTACCACAGGGCCCGATTACCATTATGTGGGAAGTAATGAACGTAATCCGTGGTCCTACTCTCCGACACCTTCAGGATACTCCAGCATGAATATCAGTGAGCTAGGAGATCGGGCCTTTTTCCCTGACCTCACCGAATCAGCTAATGGTGGCGGTGACCCTTCTCACTACGGCGGATTCTAAGAAATTTTTCAATTCATTGAGGAGTGCGATCGAGCGAAGCGATGATCCACGGCTTGCACAGCTTGTTTTCTCTCTTTTTCTTTTTTTCTCTTTCTCTTTCTTTTCCTTTTTTGTTTTGTTTTTGGTTGTTTGACAAACCCAGTTTTACCCATTACATACTTCGGCTCCCAAGCACTCTTGTCTTGTAGTATATATACCTGCTGTGCCAACGCTTGAAATGAACTCAGTTGTACACTACCTCTAATTCCTAATAAACCAGTAAACCATTAATTTATCACTCATAAAATTGTTTGCGTAAAGAATAGCATCCCCCATAGAATTTAATGAAGGGAGTTGTCGACCTCGTATGGGAAGTGTGCATAACACAGGTGCGTGGCGACATGTGCCCCTCTCAAAAGATAAACTTATGCAGAGATCAAGATTCCTATTAGTTCACGCATCAATCAAAACCTGCACCTCAGAAAAAGGGCCACTCTACATATTCCCTTATTCTCCTATTACCCTTTCGTGTCGACTGCGTCATTCTAGGTCAATCCATAGCCAGGCTCGCGAAAATACACAACCCCGGTCGACAAGGGAAAAAAGACCCATAATCACTTCTGCACCTCTCTACAGTTTGTCAAATCGTATCCCACGACGGAATTCTGCCGCTGATATCTGACAACCTTTCAAGACGAGGAGAGAGCGGGAGCAAACGGCATGGAGAATTTTAACAGTGAGACTGAGAGCGACTACACCAGTTACTGGAGAGACTGGGTGAGTTTTGTGATATTTTGAGTCTCCTCCGGCATGTTGTGCCTCGAGGATTGCCGAACGGTGTCATTCCCCACCCTTCGTCAATCTCTTGGTGGATTTTTTGGAAACTCACTTGAGGGGGGTTTTCGGAGGTACCTATGACAATTATTTGGGTCTTTAATTCATCACAAGTGGTCCAGCTATCATCCTACATAATAATGAATGGAACGGTTTTGAATTTTCGCTTCCTTTTTTAATGAACATCAATACTTGAGAGATGGTTGCAGAAAGGGATGTCAGAGTGACCATGCGTGTTTGTACAAAAATATATTTTTGCTACGGAGTTAGGGGTTTAATTCGCCATGCCTTCGGGCTGGAAACATGAAATGTGTTTTGGCCTCACTAACTGGTGTCTTCATTATGTCTGTAGTTTATCTCCTCCCGGGGAAACGAATACTTTTGCGAGATCGATGAAGAATACCTTACGGATCGATTCAACCTTACGGGCTTGAACAACGAGGTCCAATATTATCGATATGCGCTTGATCTAGTGACGGACGTTTTCGATCTCGACGCGGATGATGACCTCAGAGAGCAAATCGAGAAGTCGGCCCGACACCTTTACGGACTCGTTCATGCGCGGTATATTGTCACAACAAGAGGATTAGCTAAAATGGTATTACACCTCTTCAAGCGTGGTAGGAAAAACTAGGTTGGATGCTAACTCAGGCTGTCCGTAGCTCGAAAAATATAAGAAAGCCGACTTTGGCAAATGCCCACGTGTACTCTGCAACCAACACCCCCTCCTCCCGATGGGCCTGTCAGACCTGCCAGGCGAGAAGTCCGTCAAGCTCTACTGCGCCAAATGCGAAGATATATACAATCCCAAATCGTCCCGACATGCCTCAATCGACGGCGCATACTTTGGCTCGTCATTCCATAGCATTCTCTTCCAAGTCTACCCCGCCCTTCTCCCAGAAAAGTCAATACGTCGATATGACCCACGAGTTTTTGGATTCCGTGTTCATGCCTGCGCAGCTCTGACGAGATGGCAAGACCGAAAACGAGATGAGATGAAAGTCCGTTTGAAGAAAAATAAGCTGGATAGCCCGTTTGTTGAGGATCGGGAGTTTGAAGAAGACGACGATGACGATATTGCTGATTCGGGAATTGGAGAGTTTGATGGAAGGGGTAAAACTCCCGTTGGTGCTGAGGGGGGAAGGATGATGATTGATAAGTGACGAATGGATATGGATATCTGATCTTGATGAGTTGATGGATAGCTGAACTGCTCCCAATGAAGGCGTTTGGGGATTGAAGGATGGCAGGGGTTATTGGAGAGAAGTAACTTTCTAGCTATAATGGGGATTTTTTTCTTCTTCTCTTTTTCAGCTATAGGCTTTCAGCAAGGCGTTTGATGAGATTTCTCTTTTCGTGCAATCTTGTTAGATTATTTACATATGTTATTCTTTGGTTGTGGATTTTCCACACCTCTTTTTTGTCTGTCAGACGGTGGATAATTGGGTTTGAGGATTTGTACTCAGTTAAACTCACTGACAGATATTAACTATGACTGTTAAGGGTAGTAGGGCTTTAATTCGAGCCTTAAAACAGGAGAGCCGGAATACAGGTATTAGATAAGAAGAGGGGATTGAATCATGCCAATTATGCTTTTAAGATTATATTAAAATTTAGAATTAAAACGGAAACTCCAACACCAAACATTGTTGAATCAATGCTAATTCCTCTATATTTCCCTGTTTCTCGAATGCTTCTAAAGTCGGGAGCAAAGAGATCGGAAATCGGTAAGTCCTCAATGGTTGTTGCCCAGCATTGAATGCGCCACAAAGGAGCTCGGCATGCCGATCTTACTATAACTACGGAATACTTCAAGGAATCCTCTTCGGTTTGAACTCTGCATTCTTTATACTCCGAATCACACATGTACATGTACAATCCCTTTTTTTTTTAAGAAGTTTAGCATCCCCCCCCCTTTTTATCTCCCCCAAGCTACTTCGGCATCGGTAGCATTCGTGTTAACAGGATCTTCCCAACACAAGTTCATGCAAAGGGCATGAGACTGAATATCCGGATTCTTTTTACTGCTCATATTTTGAGTAGCACCAATGTCCTATACCATTATCCAATAAAAGTGAAACTTCAAACCCTCATACTCTGTGCTTTTGGGGTTTGTTTTGCTTCCTTTCGTCGAAAACTCTGCTAGTTTCACGGATGGTCATAGTTTAATCCTCTAGATTTGACCTGATCTTCCTCGTCGCAATTAGCTTCTGTTATTATCCTGAAACCCAAGTGCTATCACAGGTTGTTTGAGTTAGAAAAGAGCATGAAGAACTAAAATGCGAGAAACTTCAGACAATGTCCTGGTACGGGTTTTCATTTGAACCTTCATCCTGTGTGAATTTCATTGATAGGATATCCTTCTGGTCAAATCCAATTTTCAAATACAAAAAGCATACTTGCAGTACTCCTTCATTTATGAGACAATCACCCGAGTGTGATCCAGGTCATAAGATATACAGTTGCGCCCGCTATGGTTATCGCTGGATATGATTTACACTCGATAGAGTTAACCTTCATATCCAGAAGCAGTTTGTCTTCATAGCGAGTTCAGAACATTGACTGGGACAGCTATCCCGCAATAATGGAATTATGTTCCCTCGAACATCGGACACACTTTCCGATGTCAATTTTGTCCGATATCAAATTCAGTCCTAACTGCCTTCGCCACCATCTTGCGACAACAGACGATATAAATGGGTTTCAAGGAATATGTCACTTCAGGCATATGATTCGGTATCTCACTACCTACCTTTCAAGAATTCTATGGATCACTGGCCCCACGTAATTTGATGTTCAACCTCCATTCAGAACCCTCGTATTTAGGAAGACCTGTTTTTAGAACAGAAATGAAACATAGATACGAGGTTGACATCATTCCTCTGAAAGCGCTGAAGGTTCCCGCCAGAATATAAATAAGCTGTTAACTATGATCTGCTACTTCAAATCTTAAGCCTGATGTGGAGGTCCCTTCGCTGCCAGTTCTCACATGCAATCGATAGTACCCATAACATCCAAAGATGCATGCTGCTAAGGTGTTTGCTTTCCTCTTATCTCATCTTGTCCTCACAAGTATGTCGTCTCTTTGAAGAAGCCCCTTTATACTGTTTGGCTCTCCTGCTGCTGGACGAGAACATTTCCCGGCTTCCTAGTGGAAATATCCACCTGTGTGGAATATTTCAGCTAACATAGTCTCTTGAAACAATCCCAGATGCCCAGGGTTGCGGCGACACCCCTGCCTGTATTGGAACGGAAACTTGTGCCACTATCACCCGCACAACACCTACACCGACAACCATAACCACCTGCGCCCCAACCCCGACGTGTTTATACGTATACCGTTAGTCCTCGGATATTTTCCTACCTTGCTTCTGATGCGTTCGTTCAATCATTCTTCAGAGCGGATATTAGAGTTCTTCTTGCATAATCAAACGTGAAGGTCAGCTAACGAGCTAGTGCAGAGGGTTGTTCATCCGGAGGTGGCACCGACATATGCTGCTCGACGTACTGCGCCGCTACCAAGTGTAGACCAACGGATCCCAAGTGGCCAAATTGCCAAGAGGACCTGATGTACTGCGACTCAGATAACGAATGCTGCTACAACAATGGATGTGTAGATCACTTCTGCCGCAAGCCAGGATCCTAAGCTGGAATCCATTGACGAAGTGACGGAGACGTTCGAGCGTATGGGGTGGTTCAGGATTCTGCCTATCAACAACCCGGTTCTTTGACTCTCTGGACAGAGAGCTGAATCTCCTTATCCACTCTTCCGTCGATGAGAAAATGGCAAAAGGTTCATGTCATGGGGTCAATTTGAGCATTGATATGGGCGTCTTCATTTCGATCTGAATTAACGTAATGCGGAACTGTATTCCCAAAGCTTCCCTAAGTTGAAATTAGAAGCTCTTTTGTTCTGTGGAAGATGCAAAGAAAGTAAACGCAAACCTAAATATTCGTGCTCTAATTTGCATAAATATACGACACAAGTGGATGCATTTGACCGGGCCCATGCAAAACAGCAACCTATCTTTGTTAAATACATGTATGCACTGATATCGGATCCTTAGAAAGGCCTGTATGATACTCACGCCTCCACATAGCCTCCTCCTACTGATCGGCACTTTGCGAGGATTGTTGATTGACATGCATGCGGTAAGTGAAGCTCTCCCCTAACGACCCACACAAGATATCGGGCTACCTAGGCGAGTTACATCCACACAGAAGTCGGAGTATACTCTCCAAACATAGAAACCCTTGGCATCCTGGGATTGCAATAGGATGGATTCCATGGCGGGATCGGCCTTCGAGAGCCTTGGAAGCAGCCTGTAGAGCCAACTAGGCACTCGGTGTAGCTCTTCCATTTTATGCAAGCTGCTCGGCCGACATCATTTTCGGTTTTGAAAACGTAATTCCAGTTAGCTGCCCTTGTCCCCAAAGGTCTCGTTCGCCTTCCCCGTTACGTCTTTATTGGATTGTGTTCCATCCGTGCTGCGGATGCAAGAGTAACTAACTATCCCAAGTTCATTATTCAGCCTTGTAGGTCTGATTCCGGGAATTTAACTCTCGTGTTGATTACCTTGAACGAATCTTGTCAATGTTGGCTCTTTAATTAGGGCCTTCTGATGTCGTGTTTGTCAGGTTTGAATGTTCTTGCGGTTGAGGCTGGGAAGTTATTAACTTCTTCGATTTTTCTCACTCTTTTTCCTCCTATTTCCGCTGCAACTTTTCGCAGTTATATATCTAGTTGGAATACGGATGACAAACCCCGCATTCCAGAAGGCGGAGAAGACAGACTGGCAGGTTATTTATGCGCTTAAATATCAAGATCTACAAACATGCTTTTGTAATATTTTGGTATAGAGATTCCTTCTAGAGACACTAGTCACTCTTGGGTAGATTAACTATCAGTGGAGAATGTCTTTTCATTTTGGACTGAGGTGTTCGGGCCATAAATGCGACACAACCGCAGCCCTAGTCCAATGCCTACGAGGTGGGAATTGATCTGCCTTATCTATCTACCAATTAATGCTCAGATCAAGTGAGTGCCTCGTTTTGATATCTGCAATCGCATTCTTACACGAAGGGAGAAATGCTTTGGATTAATGGAGGAGTGGCATCGCGGACAATGGTTATTCTGGGGTGTATATAAGGTCTGCAGGGTCATCATGAATGTGAATCCGATTTTATTTTAATTTATTTTAATTTATCTTTTATTTACTTATTTATTTTATTTTTTTAATTATTTTTTTCAGGATCACGATCTCCCAGTTTTCCTGGCTATTATTTTCTTTACCCATTCGCAGAGATGCAAAAGTTGCTGCAGTTAGCTACAGCATTCCTCCTTGCGGGTTTCCCAACAGCCCTCTCCATCGGGAAACACCCTTCTTGTCGGTGCAAAACAGATGATTCGTGCTGGCCATCGCATGCTAGATGGAAGGCCTTGAATGAGTCCATCCAAGGTAACCCAGTTGCCGTTAGGCCGGTTGCTAACGTCTGTCATGACCCAGCGTATGACCCTGAGCATGCAAGAAAACAAAGGCCATTAGCCAGAATTCTTTCTGGAGAGCAGAACAACAGGGAACTGTGCAGTTCACCAACTGGGATACTTGGTCTGCTCAGTCTCAAAGTTGCTATGTCGACAGTCCCCAAGGTGTTGCTTGTGGCCAAGGCCACATACCGCTCTATTCCGCTCGGGTTGAATCACCCTCACATATCCAGGAGGCGGTCCGTTTTGCACGAAAACATAGCCTTCGGTTGGCTATTGAGGCATCTGCACATGATTTCCTAGGCCGATCGTCCGCACCTAACTCGCTGCAAATATCTACTTACCGAATGAAGGACATTAATTTCACGTACAACTTTGTGCCAAAGGATCCAAAAAAGACCGAAGTGTTGCAGCTGTTACCCTTGGTGCCGGGGCGGTGTTGAGCGATATTTAGAAGACATTGTCCAAAAAGGACGTTGTCACCGTTGCAGCCTTAATGTTTGCCGACCAGGACGACAAAGCGGCCGTTCAACGCCTGCTAGGCTTGCTGGTCACTGCAGTGGAGAATATGCCGTAAATATCGACAAGGTCATAATCTTCACTTACACCATCGCCTCACCAAAATCCAATAGAATCATAAACGGGCTTCTCAATGCCCAAGGGGAAACCGACCAAACCGGCGTCCCGGTTGCAAAATTAGGTCCCGTTTGATATCTCCACGATTTCCTCGTTTCCCGAAATGGGCCTGCGAAGCTCTCCAAGGCCCTCTCGAGTCTTAAATCTGTGACGGGAAGTGTCATTACAGGCCATATCGTTGCGGGTGGGCAAGTTGCCAAGAATGCCGGAAGGAATGACAGTGCGCTGGATCCTGCATGGAGAAAGACACTAACGCATATCACATTTAGTTCCTCGTGGAATTCCAGCACTTCGTTTGAAGAACAGAAGAAGATATATGAGAGGATTACGAAAGTTCAAGTTCCTCTCCTCAAAGCGCTCGAGCCGGGGCAGATGGGCGCTTACATGAACGAAGCTGATTCTCATGAGGTGGACTTGCAGAAGTCCTTTTTTTGGAGAAAAAATTATAAGCGCCTGTATGCGATCAAAAAGAAATGGGACCCTTCCGGACTCTTTATTTCCCGTCTGGGTGTAGGGAGCGAGGACTGGTATTGAATGATGGACTATGTCGAGTCCATTAGGGGATATTTGATGAGGGCTCGGATAGTTATATGGCATGTTATTGCATGTCTATGATCTATTTATATCCGCTGGAATGCCAGGAGTAATCGAGATGTTCGTCTTCAATTTTGATATAACCATGGGTTATCCACTTCGCTCAATACTTCTCGGAGGGTTGGTTAATATATATATATATATGTATAACTCGATACATTAATAATCATTTCCGACGCACGCCAGACCCGCTGATTTCGCCGAACAACCTAAATCGAGTTCTGATCACCACAGCTCAGTCTAGTTATCGTGATTCCGTTCAATCTATTTGCCCTTGACAAGCCAAATTACTGTACAAGAGCTCCTTACCCGGGACAATGGGAATTACGCATATTGTCCTGTTTCAGTTCAAAGCTGGCGTGCCTGCTGAGTCTGTTAATGATGTATGAGTAACTAATGCTCCCGTCTACTATATATGATTTCGTTTTACCAATGCAAGAGGCTCACCGACTATGTTTGAACAGGCGTGTGCGCGAATGCTTGCATTGAAAGACAAATGTATTCATCCTACTCGACAAAAACCGTATATTAAGGCCGCAAAAGGTGGCAGAGATAACTCAACTGAAGGGTTGCAAGTATGCGGAAACATCTCTCATATTATAAGGACTACTAAGAACCACATATATATTATACGCATACTCATGCCCCACGTCCTTGTGTTCCGTTCTTGAAAATTGGAATTGACAGAGATCGATCCTAGGACGGAATTACCCATGCCTTTGTTGTCGAGTTCGAGAACGACGAAGATCGAGATTACTACACGAAGAATGATCCTGCCCATCTGGGGTTTGCGGGCAGTCTGGGTGACATTGTTGAGAAAGTTCGAGTTGTTGATTTTACCGACGGGGTGTTCTGAACGGGATGCATGGCTACTTTTATCTCAGTTTATTCCGTTTGTACACCACCTTCAGGATGGGCTGAGACAGTCTGAATAAATCGCAAGGGCTGATTATTGAGGCTCAATACCAGTCATACCGAAGTCCTTATGATTCCTGGCGCTCAAGGCCACTCGGAATCTGGTGATTCAGCTATTTTGATGATACATTGAATGCGATGTTCAAATTTAAACCATCTCGTAGTGTGATCAATCAATCGATCAATGACTCATTCAGCAGGAAGGGTTTCCATTACAGTCGGCGAGAACCACAAAAATTTTGAAATCCCTGACGGTCAAATCCATCGCAGCAGAACCCCCATTCGCGGTAACACAGCATATTTTATATATTTAATTGGAGGGGGAGGGGGAGTGGGGGGAGTAGGCAGTTTAGTGTGCACAACGGACAGGGGTTTTTGAAGTCAAAATAAACACCGTATTAATACGGTTGGCAACAGTTATGCAAAAGTGCCGAGATGCAACAATTATAACTATATTTCAAAACAATATCCTAGAATAAGGCCCGTGCGATCATGGGGGCGGTCATCGCGTTATCGGATGAGAACGAAGACAATTCAAGAGAATGTTGTGGTGTAGATTCGGCTTCCCTCGAGGCGAAGAGAATGACCGTCATCGCCCTTCTCTTAGCAAGTCGGGAACGGTAACATGGCGTCTCCGAGACCGAGGGCACGAGGACCTGAAGCAACATCCAAGGCATCCTCCCTTGTGAAATACCACGAATCAGAGATTCACGAGCACTTCCTCAATCAGATAATTTCCAAGTTGGAATAAAGCTTCTAGATAACTTCCTTTTTGCTTATACGATATTGTTGCACGGTATGTTCTTGTGATTGGGCCGATCCTCCACAAGGTGAAATTCATAAACGGCCCTACAACTGGCACCTGCAGGTCGTCCGCAAGCCATGCGGCACGAAAGAGTGTAACCTCAGAACTGTGGCGGAGGACAACATCAAAGCAATGAAGCATTGGTTCACGGGGCCCTTTACCTCTGGTGTTATCTAGAGTTCAAATATGTTCGTTTCATTTTCCAGAAACGAGAAATTTCCTCTTTTTGTCTGCAATAACAACCCCCGCACAAAAGAGATAAATACAGTTTCCTGGATCGAACTCATGGCGATGTATGGTAACACATCTCCGTGTTCACTTCACGTAATAAGGAAACATGGAATAAGCGGAGCGTGACCTGAAAAAAAACCAATATATCAGTTTGGTTCAAGTAGTTAATGTCCTGTATGATGGGGAGGGAGAAGATATCTCCACTAATCGGTGCCGAAAACGAACAACATCATCCATACAAGATGAATCATATGAATCATCATGATTCATACCGTGTGCAGAGAGTCCTCAATCTAATCTCTGTTGAAGTTGGTTCTGGCCAGGTTTGCGACACGGCGCCTAAAATAGCAACTCGATCTCTACCAACCGCCTGAGCGTGAGGCTTAAATATTTGAACGCTCCTCCGCCGTCCACGCGTTATGCCAGGACTTCAACAACTTTATTTTTCGTCTTCGTATCTCGACAAACCCAAACCAGCAAGCCTGCAGGGCTGGATGCCTCCTCCGGCTCATGTTTCCCTGATATGAAGGAATATTTTCTTGGCAGCCAATCTGGAGCATCTGTCGCTCAGCCTCTCCCGACTTGCTGCTATTGGGTCAACTACTTTGCGCGGGTCAACATGGCCATCGAAAATCATGCAGGTTAATCACGCTCTTTGGTTGCTGCCTTAGACAAGCGTCCGCAGCGCCATCACCAGCACCATTCCGATCTACCCCTGAGGAGAAAGATCGGCGCGCCAATCTTTCGTCGTCTGAGAAAATCAGAGATAACCGAGAATGCTTGGTCCCATCTCACCGCTGGACAAGAAAAGTACTGTACACTATGTACCATTGAGGGCACTCATGTTCATATCTCGTCAAATCCAAGCTTCGTGCAATTTTCTTTGCCATAATTGTAAAACGTTTCGTAACTTTAACCGCCAGATTACGGGGCTGAGGAAATTCGAAATGAAATTCGAAGCCCCCCCTCCCCCGATTCATATATGGGTGCTTCTCTCCACATAGGATTAAAACCTCCTCTACCGCATTACCAAGCTATTGTCGACTTTGAGTGTTTTGTGGATGCGCAAAATAGTTCATTTATCATCTAAACTTCTCATATTCGTTTACGTGTGATATTTAGGCTGTACTACAACGCGATTTTCGGGATGAGTGTTGCAAAGGGACCTGAATCCTCCCCATCCCGGATGGCCTCTGGGTTGTTGTCCCAATGCCACACTTGCCGCAAGCGAAGGGTCAGATGTGACTCAACACGCCCTGCTTGTAATAAGTGCATTGCAAAAGGTGTCCAGTGTCTGGGATATGGAAGACAAAAGCCCCTTGTCTGGCTCCACGGAGGGGGCAACCAGAACCAATATCTGGTCGGGGGAACTCAGTCGGTTCTAAAAAGGAGAAAGAAGGGGAGACCGAAGATTATCATTGCGAAGGAGGACGTTGAAGAACCGAAGAAGTCTCCCGAAGGAGTAAAAAATAACATATCTGAAGTGTTAGACCTCGTGCAAGCCGCTTCCGGTACGCTTATCTTCATGCTTACTCACCGGGAAATCCTCATCTCACTAGCACTGAAGTTGCACTTTAAAGCGCTGACGTTTGTTTGGGTATCTAGATGTTCCAAGATATTTAGACAAGTTCGATCCCCTCCGCGCCCCGGAAACTCTGGATTTTAATTACCCCTTGGACGTTAAAGTGGTCGTCAGCACGATCTGGTACTGTAAGTTTCAAAACGCTATATGCCCAACCCTGAATAGAACATTTGATCACTAACTTTATAAATTAGTCAATAAGTATATTTATCCCGAAGTCGATCCGATAGTTTACTATCAAGATCTTCCCACCATTGACCCTAAGAGCTGGCAAGATGATATCTCCAATATACTTTTCCAGATACTTGTCTCCGTTGTTGCGACACACAGAGCTGTGAAATCGCAAACGGACGAAAAAGTGTCCCTAGGCCATGAAATCTACCAGTACAAGCAGCAGGCTTTTCGTCGACTGAGTTTCGAGCTTAGAAACCCTGCCACTCAGTTGGGGGATTTGACGCTGGTTTGTGTATTGACCCTGTTCTTAGCAGAGGTAGGCGTTCTCCCTTAACTCTCGAGAAGCAAAGCATAGGTTGTTAAATTTCCTTCCTAGACCCAGCAGTCAGCGTATGGCGAATGGCAGGCCCATTTCCAAGGCGCAACAAAGATCATCGAGTTGAAAGGGGGTGTCAAATACGCCCTAGACAGGTGTCCCCAAATAAAGAGTTCTTTAACATGCTACTTGCTGTACGTATCTTGTCAATCCACTTAATTTGCGTTGTTGCCCAGAGTCCAAAAAAAATCTTTTAAAATTTCCTCTTTGTTCTTCATCTAATACCTTTCTCCTTAGGGCGGATGTCTTGGGTGCTACCACCTCCCGAAATGTGTTATCCATGTCAGATGCGTCTAGACAACTAGGGTACTCAAAAGATCTACCCCACATTTTCTGCAACGGCTCAGAGTCGTTTGTCCCCTGTCCAAATGAGCTCTTTGACTGTATTATCCGAATCAACTATTTCCGCGCCCTGTCCGCCCACGCGATCGGCACAAACAACATGATGATAGATTTTGCCAACATACAAATGCTACTGCAGAACATTCTCTCCTTTTCCGCACCCAACTGGGCGGACGGCATGGTACAGCACTATGCCGACACTGCAGTTATTCCCCGCCGGAAAACCACAGGTGATTTTATTCGCCCTGATCGAGACATCTGGCTACAAATAGCAACTATTTACCAAGCCGCAATCCTTCTTTATTGCATACGTTCTCTTGCTTTGGATTTTCAAGGCCTCATTCTTGCGTCCTACTCTTCGAATACAGCAGCGGATATGATTTCGTATGTCACGGTTCAAGATATCCAGATCGTGGCGAGACAGACACTTTCGGACCATTTAGGTAAAATCTTCGCTCCCGGATCTGACTTACTTCGTCAATCCTTGGCCCGGGTGGTAACTTGGCCCCTGTTTATCGCCGGGGTCGAAGCTGGGGATCATTTTGAAGATGCAACAGCTCTGAGGAAACTCGTGCTCAGTGCATTCGGCAGACTAAGCAGAGCATTGGGCACTTTGCATTTTCGAGATGCAAGGTCCTTTCTGGAGAATGAGTACGGTCGTCGGGATAGCATAAGTATTGCAGGAAATCTCGATTATCGCTGCTGGTGGGATGATGTTTTTGAACAATTGCCAGATAGATGTGCTTTTTTTGTGTAGCGGAGCGGATGGAAATATTTATGTCATGTGGGTTCTTCATATTTGTTAGGCGCTTCGTGACATGTGATTTTCGATTTCTGTTCATAGCTCAACATGATGATTTGTCAATAACGTTAAGAGTGTAGAACCTCTATTTATGACTCCTACCACAACCTATCAGAAAAAGAGAGAACGAAACAATCTTTCAGAATTTGTTACCACCAGTAACTCCTGTCCCAAACTGTATTGGTAGCACAATGAACTTCACCGCCCCAAGTATGATGAGAATTCCAATTGTCCACAAACCCGACATTGAAACCTAACCTACCATATACCTTCAACGCCGCATCTGCCATGATATCGACGCCACCTATAACTGGGCCCCAGGGGTTTGGTGCCAGGTATTGTGTATCGCTCAGCACCAACCCGTTGATCGTAGAAGGATAAAGAGACGCAGCCAACTCAGAGCTACCATTTCTTTTAGGATCGACACCTACATTCGGTGGATAGGTGAGGCTAGTGCGAAACACTGCGGGCACAGCATATATGTCTGTGTCTTTAATACCCGTTTCACGTTTGAGAAGGTCTATGTTAGTCTTGATACGTTTGGAAAATCTGGCGTTCGCTTCTACCGTATGGTTTTGGGAAAGTAGGTCATTGATCGTATAACTTGGTACACCGCGGAGGCCACCGGGGACCCCAAACAGATCATGCGGATTCCCTTCTGTGTCATTCTGGCGGGAAAATGCGCGAACACTGCCGTGCCCAGCCGATTGAGCTCGCCGCAAGAGATTAAGGCCTTCCTGCGGATCTGGGAACAGCATAACCCATCCCAAAGAATTATTGGAAGGAAGGAATTGAATAAACTCGTCAACATGTCCAATCGCAAGCCAGTCAGTGTCTAGAAGTAGCGGGTCTTGAACTTCCTGTGCCAGTAGGAATTCTAGGATATGTGGCTTCTTGAGTCCGTGTGTCCCGAGAATGATGCGACCAGCAGGGTATTCTCTGCCGTTAAAAATGTAAGGTGGGATAGTTTCTAAATTCCCCATCGAATTGATTTCGTCACGCGCTCCTCCAGGGTGCTGGACCGCTCCAGTTTCTGGCCCTCGTAGGTACTCGAATACCTGCCGCCCAGCAATGCGGCCATCTTGCGCGGAGCATATCATGATTTGCAGTGCAATCGGCCCATCAGGACCTGGCATGCCGGTATACCCTGGCTCGAAGAAATCTTGCGCCCAAATGTCATCAGATGCGTTAAACTGGAAAAGTGGAATCTTGATGTCCATTTTGGCGAGAGCTCCTTCAAGAGCAGATACGAATCTGCCTTGGAAAAAATTGCCAGTATTATTTCCAGCAGTGGTGATAATCTGTCGGACTGATTCGGAGTGATGGTGGGTTAAGATAGGTGCAACCCGTAATTTCACGCTATCCACTGACGTCTTCCCTTTGTCGTGAACAGTACATTGTATGGTTACTCTTCCGTCCCATTCACCTGGCCGCCTGGTATTCCTACCATCTATCCCTAGTTCTAGACCTTTTCCAGGTTGACTTGGTGGGAATCTGTAACCTGCTGGCGTGATTAACCATTGAAACCCCTCACGACGGAAAATGCGAACATTTTTGCGTGCCTCTGCGTTAGTAATAGCAATAGTCCCATAAGCTTTAGTCCCATAAGCTTTTCGACTTAAGCTAGGAATGGGAACGGTGCGAAGAGGCGCCATAAAACGAGGAGATCGCTGAAGGTCGTTTGACGCATCATTACAAGCTGCAAGTTCCTCGTTGGACGGAGGTCTGCCTTGCAGTGCTGATTTGGAACATCGCCGATCCGTGTCGCCGATATTCGCAAGGAATATCGCCCCGGCATTGTTCGAAGTGCTCAATTTATGGGTTAGGTCTGTATTTCCGACAAGATCAACCTTGCCGTCACGATTGCTATCGGCTCGGATATCAGCTCGAAAACCAAAAACGATGAAACAATATAAGACTATCATTCGTTAGCAGACTGGGTATGACCAAACAAAATATTATTCTATACAGTCCTTACTCACCAAGTATATGAAATAAAGGAAGCAAACAATGCATTTTGTGGAATCGTCCCTTTTGGCCAAAACTCAAGGTGGGTAAAACGACAGTAAACAGCAGATAATGCCAAAAGAGAGTGAAGTGAAATTTATCTATCGTCATCACTCAAACGGATTCCTCCTTTTATATCTGCTAAATCAAACCGCCTGAAATACTTACCGAAATAGGCCAATACCATGCAATTCGAGAACTGCGAATACCAAATGGGAAACACATTATAGCCTCGAATTGAAGTGGGCGATTTTCCAAATAATTGCACAAACGAATAATAAATTGGGAAGGCTGCCACGGAAGGCTGCCATAAGTCGTCTCATGGGTGAATATCTAACAGCTATGCAACAACTGTTGATGGGCTGGAAAATGGAGACGTTCTATGAAAGACACGTATTGGAGGTAGATGGACACCAGTCATCCTGCTAAGGAGTGCTCGGACTGGAGTAAATAGTGTCTGCAGACTGTAAATGTATGTCCTATTGTGGTAATTATTAAATCGCCGCGAGGGACAATACGAGCTCAACTTCAGATTATTTCGACATGTCGGAAAGGAAGAAGCAGTGACAGGTCCACAATTGGAGGTAGCTTGGCGTTCTACTGTGGCGATCCATATATCTTATTTAGCTAAGACTTCAATAAGCACTGGCACATCATAGAGGTCGATCCCCAAGCCACGACTCGAGAAGGTATTTTGGAAGAGATATTGGGGACTTCCGAACTTTGGAGAGTGCTCTCAGCACCAAGCGACAGTGGCTAGTGGGGCAGAAAAGAGGCGTCAAGACGTTTTGGGATATTGATTATAGAATTGTCGTTCTTGTTATGCATTAGAATGGAGATTTGCATGATGGATTTGCTGCTCGTCCCAGTCATTGCTATTTCCATGAGTGCACAGCTTTTTGGCATAATTTTCCTAATGACTTTCTCTGGATAAAACTATGAAAATAGCTTCCGGCTAAGCCCCCATGTTTGAGAACGGAAACATCACACTTGCTCCAATCTCGCTAGCTCACCGATCGTCTCGGCAATAACTCGAGCCAGTTCATCCCCTTTACTCCAGACTTCATCATGACCCTCTTTCAGGTCATCAAGTAGAAGTACGCCCTTCTTTTGTTCTTGGGTATTCGCTTCTCTCCACCTCTCTACTACTTTCGCCATAGCTCTGAACTGGCCCATGTCAGCTAGTTCATCAGCCGTGGAATGAGCTAGCACTGCCAGCCTGCCGTTTTGCCACCCGCCTTCAATACCAGCTTGCCCTGCCGCTTTCGCAGGCGAAACTCCATCCCAAACGTCTTCGGAAGTGCCAAAAGTAGCCTCGATAAACTCCTGGTAGATGGGACACTCTGCAAAAGTATCGCGGAGTGCACAAAGATCATAGATCCCTTCCACTCCCACTATCGATAAGGGACGTGAAATTTTTTCTGGAATATTGTTGCTATTTTCAGGTCCCATTTTCGGCACTTTCCCCATCACAGTTTGAAAAGCAAGGGTCGCGCCGCAACTGTGTCCTACTAGAATGTACCTTTCCCCAAATCCGTACTTATCCTGTAAATAAGCAATTGCACGCTGCACGTCATTGAGGTGATCAGGGTGAGCTGCATTACGCATATGGGTTGGTTCTGTTGTACTGGGATCCTGGGGGAAATTTGGATGCGCGGTCAAACGATAGTTGATTGATGCGAAAGCGGCGACTGAACGCAAAGTTCCGGGGTCGTATTTGGAAACAAGTGACTGTAGCGTCGGTTCAATCGAGGTGGACGTAATCTCCGGATCACGCCATGCGCCCCCGTGGATGAAACTTTGTCAAATTGTATGAGTGAAGAACATTGGAGAGAGATGTGACATGATGGTGCTTGGTGTAAAAGACTCGCAGCATACATTATCCAGACACTTGACAAATAATTTGTCTTCGAGAAAAGCCGGGGAAAATATAAGGTGATATCCTGCAGGGAACTCTCTTGCCCATATCGATGGTGTTCACAGTGAAAATGTACGTCGAGAGGGGATGTCATTGGGTGTGGCTTTTATATTATCCTTGGAAAACCAGCAGATGTTTGCTCAATATCTCCTAACAGTAGCAGTCTCCATCGAATTTCCAATGATGTTGATTAGAGTTTGATAACGACCAAAGAGCCGCACCTTAGTCAAGAATATGCACTAGTCCTAATAAGGTCCTAGCGCACCGAAATTATCTGCTCTTGTCCGAAACGCACACAACAACAACCAAACGCTGGCAACGACCAGCGCGAGAGAGATATTCACACCGTATCACCGCATCACCTCATTCTACGCTTTAACTATTCACAGATATCTGTCACTGTCGTAAATATGGCTGAGTACTTACATATCTTTTGCCCTTTGCTTTGATTTTCGCTGACTAGTTGCAGGAAAGATGTATCCCTCAAGGCCGTCCAGGTGGAGGCACTGGTAAGAAATTTCGATGTTGAGTTACTGGCCATGAGTCACGAATACGACACTTACCGATAGTTCAGGTGTTGATGAAAATCATCAAACATAGCTCCCAAGCCTTCCCTACTACTGCGACCGGATCACTTGTCGGTATGGATGAGCGAGGTACTCTACAGGTCACCAACTGCTTCCCCTTCCCGGTTGTCGATATCCCAACCGATTCCCATTTCGATAACTCTTCGCAAAATCCGGCTGCTGTTGCTCCACGTGCAAAGGCGAATGCTGTTTATCAGGGTGAAATGATCAAAATGCTTCGAGAGGTGAACATTGACGCCAATAACGTCGGATGGTACACGAGCGCGAACATGGGGAATTTTGTCAATCTGAACGTCATCGAGAACCAGTATTATTATCAAAAGGAATTGAATGAGCGAACGGTGGCTTTGGTTCACGATATCAGCCGTAGTTCTCAAGGAGCCTTGGCTCTGAGGGCTTTCAGACTCTCTCCTCAGTTTATGGCGGCCTTCAAAGAAAATAAATTCACCAGCGAACAGTATGATATAGCCCTTGCCATTTGCCTCAAGTTCACGATTAGTATCTGGGGAAGCTAATACTTACTCCAACCATCACAGGCTCCAAAAATCCAACCTTCGATATCAAGATATCTTCGTCGAACTTCCCGTTCAAATTCACAACTCCCACCTTCTAACCACATATCTCCATCAACTTCCAACTCCAACCCCTTCAGAGCCTTTGGATTTCCCGCCCTCCCTTGACGCATTGGTCAATGGGCCCTACGCTTCATCCTCAGTATTAGCACCCAACTATGACAGTCTTTCCCTGAGCATCGACCCCTTCTTGGAAAAGAATTGCGACCTTCTCTTAGAAAGTATCGAAACTCACCATACCGAAAACAACAACTTCCAATTCTACCAAAGGTCGCTTACCCGCGAGCAAGCTAAAATCGCCCAATGGCAGGCTAAGCGTAAAGCCGAGAATGCCACCCGTACCCAACTGAAGCAACCCCTTCTGCCGGAGGATGAATGGCAACGACTCTTCAAACTCCCCCAAGAGCCCAGCAGATTAGAGACTTTGCTAAATACCCGACAAGTGGAGCAGTACTCGCGGCAAATTGACAGTTTTGTGGCTGCGACAACGGGGAAGATGTTTGCCGTCAAAGGTAATTTGCTCCCTGGTGAATCCCAGGTATAACATTCCAGAAATCGTTCCTAAACTACCTGTTCATCTTTTGATATGAGGAGCTTTCTTTAATATGGGCGATATCTCCTTTTTTCGTGAATTCAGAACAAGGAAATTCGTTTGCGGGCCTTGAATTGCATGATTATATGGCGTAGCGGTGGGAATTTCTATGTTATATCTGTTTTTCAGTCTCTTCTTGAAAATGGCTATTTATGACGTTCTGTTCCCGCTTTTATGTTTGCTTGTATTTTCTTTTATACCTATGCTTTGTACTTGGCAACCTGCTACTACATCGAAAGAGCATGAATAGAGTATTCTGGTGATGTTCTCAAAATTGAAATGCAGCAATTTTTAAACAATTCAATACGTTTAATTATTCAGACAATGAGGTACATTCAGGGCACTAAGCAGACACTCACAACTTGCCCGACAATTACCAACCCCCCCATCAACCTAGTGCATGCCCATTGAATCCGAACCCCGACCCACTAGCCGACTGCGGAGCTAGTGAATAATAATGCAAATGATGAAGAAATGTAGTCACATCCCAAACCAAGAAGTATACCAGAGAATTGAATTCAAATAATACGAGAGTGAGTTAGGTAAGAGAAATCAGTGAACAACTAAGTATCCCAGATATGTAAGGGGATAGATGCACATAAAAAAATACACAAAACAATCGAACTATGGTAAAAACACGGGTTAAGAGATGAGGGGCATAAGTCATATATATACGCGAGAAAAATGGATGGAAAGGGGTATTTCGTGAAAGAGCATAAATAACAAACCAAGAAAAAACAACGTCAAGAGGAATGGAAAACTAACATGGATAGATTCAATAAAGGATCAAGTAATTGACCGGCCGCACCGCATAGCAGAACTGAGACGCAGAGTGGGAATCTCCAAAGAGAAAAACAACAATGAATTGGTGGGGGGGGAAACAATAAAGCAATCAAAATAATTAAACCAGCGCCAAACGGCGCTCCAAAAATTTCATGATACATGAAGCAAAACATCCCGACTAGTAACAGCTTAGATCCAAGTTTGGCTCCAAGGACGCCAGCCAAGATGCTGCATTGCCCGAACTCGTCCTGCGAGTGAATGTATGACAAATGGTTAAGAAGAATTCGCAAAGCCAAAAGAGAAGAGTTCCAATAAAATCAGATCTAAACAGGAGGAATTCATTGAAATCCAATTCGAGTCGTGCGCCAGGAGCTCAACTACAAATTGGTAATTTTCTTGAACCAACTGGATCGTTTCGAAGTCCCATTGCCATATGATAAATGGCGGTGGTGGTCGGAGGCATAGCGATCACCATAACGATCACCGTATCGATCGCCTTCGCCACTGCCTTCGCTGCTCTTGAGCGGTTCGCGAACTGAATGCGGAAGTTCTCGATGTCTAGCTCGTCTATCTGCAAGTTCGGCATCATCGAGGCCATTGTACTTGGAATGTCGTCGCGCCTTGCGTCGAGTTGCTCGCCTGGCTTCATCTTCGGATGATAGGGAATGGACGTGAGGGTCTCCTGCGGGAGCAGGAATGTCGATGACAGTGGGGACAATGGGAGGCACTTCTGGAGGGTTAGTTAACTGAGAATTTAACCACAATGACGTTTTCTCCTTCCCGCTACCCGCGAGACCAGGATACGGTACGGTAGAAGCACGATGCAATGGGCGGACATTGCTAGAAGTGTAATACTCTTCTCCAGGTATGGCAGAAGACTTCCGCCGTCGAGATTTGGCAGTTTCGTCACCAGAACGATGGGAACGATGGCGACGATGATCCATGCCATATTCATTGTAAGAATATTTGTCTCGAGGTTTCTCCATATGTGATCTACGGCGTTCAAATCGTATCCTTTTGCTCTCTTCTTCGAGTTCCTCTGCTTGTTTTACACGACGTTTTGCCTCCATTTCTCTGCGTTCTTCCTCGCGTTGTTTTCCCTCTAACTCCAGCGCTGCTCGACGAGCTCTCTTCTCCTCACGACGTCGTTGTTCTCGTTCTTCGTCTTCTCTTGCTTGTCTTTCCCATGCTTCGTAACTCCTCGCCCGCTCAGCTTCCCGTCTCTTTGCACGCCGTTCTTCGGCGTCTTTGTCTACAACTTCTCGCGCCTCCTGTTCCGCATGCTTTGACAAACGACGAGTTCTTCGTTCGGCTTTTCTGGCTTCCGCGTCTTCCGCTTCCGTTGTGGGAGCTGCATCAGTTGTAAACCCTTCACCATCTGTCTCTACCTTAGTTGATCGTCGTTTTTCTCGTCGAGGGCGACGGGTCTCTTCCTTGTCAGTTTCAGCAATTCTCAAATCTTCGCCTCGACTATATCGTGGCCGCGAATAGTCTGGTCGCGTCGCCGGCTTGCGAAATGAGCCAAATAACCCTAAAAAGCCCTCGGATTTTTTGGGAGTAGTGGTGTTTGATCGCTTCAACGGTAAACGTTCTTTAGGCGTGCCAATGACGAAGGCCAAATCCTCCGGGCCAGAAACTACGTCAGGACGGCCAGAAGAGTCTGGCTCAACTATGACAATATCATCATCTGCTCTTTTTGGTTTTGGCTAATGATCCATAGTATATTAGCATAATTAATCGAAGCGCACGAACAGACATCGGAGAAATACACGAGGGACTCAAATTCCTCACCTCATGTTTGGATTTATGTCGACGAAGTTTCGAGTCCTTTGGCGTCTCTTTTGGTGAAATCGCTGCAGGTTCGTCGCCTCCGTTGACCATAACCAAGTCATCATCGTCATCAATAGCGTATGGATCAGGAACTTCTATAATATATGATATTAGAAAGTGTGCACGCGGGGTGAGCAGCGTATTCGAATAAATGCACACAACTTACTTGAGAGGCACTTTTTGCCCTTGAGTTCGCTTCTTGGAGTCTTCACACCGTTCACACCCATAAGTTTTGCAGCCTTCCCCAAAATTTCCGCATGATTGTCATTCGGAGAAAGAATTCCTGAGTCATCGATGTCAACTGAAGGATGTCTAGAGCTAGGCATCGAAACTGAGGCACCATTTCGTTTGATTGACTTGGTTCTAGCAGGCGGCGCACCCCCCAGCATAAAATTAGGAAAATTCATTCCTCTGCTGTGTCGTGAAGGGCGAACAGTAGCGGATGTGTGTTTCTCCTTGTCAGAACCAGACGACTTTTCAACATCCTTTTCTCCGACCATAGGCTTATCCCTTTTCGAAGCAGTGGATTTCGACCTAGCCAAAGTGGGAGGAACCGTTTCCTTTGCCTTTTTCATGGTATGGGGAGAAGAATTGGCCTCTTCTTTGGGCTTGGTTTCTTTTTTTACAGGTCTCTTTGGTGAAGCACCCCAGAAGCCCCATGAAGAAGCCCCAGCGGTACGTTCAACGCGCGCACGTTCCTTTTTAACAGGTTTGGATGTGGCGCGATTCGGAGTAGCTTCAGAATCTTTGCTTTCATCAGGAGCTGTGGCTGGAGGTGGTGGATGAGGGGTCGCCATTTTATCGGTGGAAACCTTGGTGGCCGTAGAAGGCTTTGTACCCGCCTTTGGAGCTTTGACAGGATGCGATTTCACAGGTCCTGGTGCAGGAGCAGGAGCCAAGTCGATGATATCAATTAAACCATCGTCAAATGCGCCGGGAAAGCTGCCTGGAACGGAGTCGCGTGGAGTATTTGATTCGTCGAGAAGCGTGGCAGTAGTGGCCGCAGTAGCACCCTTTTTCTTTGACGTGGACTTACTTGGCACCGTTGTTGCTTTTCTTTTTGATGAAACTGATGCCTTTTTTGATGGGAGAGGATCATACGCGACTGGCTCTACGATCGGTTTGAGGTCAGGTGGGGAAACTGGCTGCTGGGGAACACCAGTTTGCACAACGACCTTTTCTTTCTCTTTGAGTTTCTCCTTTTCCTTAGCTGCCTCTTTTTCGCGCTTTTTACTTTGCTCAAGTAACCTAATCCGCTCTGCGACTGAGGTTTTGCCAGTAACCTTGGTGCCAGTCGTGAGTGTCGTCGTGGTTGTCTTTGGTGGCGCGCTTGGCGCGCTTTCTTTGTCAGCTGTGGTCGCGCTAGTCGCTTCGAGCTCGCCTGCATGAATATCAATAAGATCATCAAGCGCAGTTTTGTTATTTTTCTTTGCGCTCTTTTTACTGCCGTCCATGTTAGATTTATCCTTGGCCATTTCTACTACTGTTTCAATCCCTTCCTCAGTTATTTGCGGGGTTTTAGACTTGCTGGGAGTGGAAGCTGGAGCAGTACCAAAACTTCCCCAGAAACTTTTAACTCCCTTGGCTGCATCGCAGTCTACAGCACCAGGTTCTTCCATCTTCTTGGGCTCGTCAGTGATATCCACAACCTCAAGGCCTCTGGATTTAGGCTTGCTTGATTTACTGTTCTCGACTTTGGATAATTTCGACGTGGTTGTAGTTGTGCGAGAGATTGATGGTTTCTTTGCTTTCGTGATCTTGGATCCAGAACCAGTGAATGCGCCCCACGCATCATTGCCATCAACGTCAACTGCAATCATTTCGGTGTCAAGTTCTTGAACTGGAGGTGTGGGTGCCGGTGGGGGAGGTTCGTTGGCATCTTTTCCTATTTTTCCCTTCTTTTTATCTGCGGGTATTCCCCACCATGAGTTGTCATCCAGACCGGGAGACCTGACAAGATCCGTAGAGACAACATCTTTATTTTTGGGTTCGGCAGAGGGGGCGACGGTAGCAGGTTTCTTCTTGGCTTCCATTTCCTTCTTTTGCTTGTCTTTCGCAGACAGCCCTGACCAGGGATCCAGGCCTTCAACCTCAGGAAGTGGTCCAGGCTCCGGCTCTAAAAAATTGTTCTTTTTGCCCTTTTTATCCTTGGCACTCTTTGACAATCCCCAGAATGCCCAGCTATCGGCAGCTAGAGGTTCAGGCGCCTCCGAAGCGGGTGGGGGAGGGGGTGGGAGAGATTCTTCGGGCACCTTCGTCACGGAAGCTCCCTTTTTCTTGATTTTTCTACTGGTTGGGGTAGTATCAGCCCAACCAAGGAAGTCATCATCCGCGGCAGTGGGGTTATTTTGGAACTTAGGATCTTTGGCTTTTTCTTCTAGTATTATATCCTTTCTCACTTTCTTATCCTTTTTAATTTCCTTTCCGCCAGAAGTGGCTTCATTGGCGCCGGTAGAAGTTGCTTCAATGACAGCTGGCGGTTCAGAAACGAGGTTCGGATCTTCAACGACTGCTGCCTTCTTCTTATCCTTTTTCTTACTTCCGAAACTCCAACCACCAATGCTCCAATCATCTCCGTGTCCACCTGAGCCACCACTAGCCTTGGAAATTTTGGAGTCAACCTTAGTGACTTTGCCGCCATCGCCATAGTCATCTTTAAGCCAATCAAGGTTTTCTCCGCCAGGAGTTAGCTCAGGAGCAGGTGCTTCAATATTTGATACCTTGCTCTTTTTCTTGTCCTTTTTGGACGTGGTAGTGGCCCAGATGTCAGTTTCAGGGACCGTAGCCGGATTTTTGACGTCCTGTTTAGTTCCCTCTACAACATCACCTTTCTTACCTTTCTTTCCTTTTTTAGTAGTGGTGGTGAATTCCAAGTCGTCAAGGGGATCAAACTCTGGATTACCTTCGGGCTTGTGTTCGGGTTCTGGAAGCGGGTTTGTAGGCAATGGCTCTACTACTGCTCCTTTCTTACCCTCGTTTTTGGAAGAGGCAGTTCCCCAGGTAACAACAGGCTCATGTTCAGTCGCTGGAGCAGGTGCTGGAGCCTCCCCCACCGGCTCCATGAGTGTATTCTTCTTGCCCTTCTTTTTCTTCCCTCCTGAAAACTCAGCCCATTCATCAACAGGCTCGGGACAAGGTGCTGGTGCTGGTGTCTCTTCGACGGCTTTGAGAACAACCTCCACGGCAATATTCTTTTTCCCTTTCTTCTTTTTGCTCGTTGAAACTCCACCCCAATCATCCACGGATTCAGGTTCGGGTCCTGTTGCAGTGAGTGGTGGTTCCGGAGGCAAATCTTCTACGACAGCTCCTTTCTTGCCCTTCTTTCTTTTGGAATTCGTTGTAAACGCACCTCCATCATCAAGGGCTTCCGACTGGAGTTCATGTTTGTGTAGGGGAGCAGGCAGCTCCTCAGTTATGTTTTCTTCCTCTTCTACAACTACCACTACCGCTGCTGCCGCTGCCATTGTGGCTCCTTTCTTACCCTTCTTTTTCTTGGAAGTCGCTATGAACTTACCCCAATTATCACAAGAGTTCGCCTCTGGTTGGTGTTCAGGTTCTGGTGCGGGTGGTGGCGGTTCAACCGGAGCTTCCTCCACAACAGCAACACCCTTCTTACCCTTCCTCTTCATTGAAGTAGTGACACTTGCCCAGCCATTGATAAGATCAGGCTCTGCAACAGGTGGAGGAGCAGGGGAGTTCTCAGCTTCTAATTTTCCCTTCTTCTTCTTCTTCATGTCCTTTTTGCTAACTTGTGTCGCCCAATCCAAATCATCCTCTGGTTCCGCCTTAGCATCTGGCACTGGTTCAGGTGGAGGTTCGGGAACTTCCTTTTTCTTATCCTTCCTGCGGGAGACCGAAGCACAGGTGTCCTCCGTAGCAGGTTCTGGTGGGGGGTCAGGTTTCTTGGGTGCTGCTTCGGCAGCCTTTGCCTTTGCCTTCTTGCTTTTCTTTCCCCACCCATCATCCCATCCACTATCTTCAACCGTAAAGTCGCCAGCAGGTTCGACTACGGGGTCGGGCTCTTTTGCCACCTCTTCAGTGAGATCAAGGGTATTTGCTCCCTTCTTCATCTTGTCCTTTTTCGTCGACGTGGACCAGGTGGCCAATTCGACGGCAGGTTCAGGGTCGGGAGCAGGAACAGGATTAGATGCAAGATTTTCGATAGGAGGGATGCCCTTTTTCTTTCTCTTGTCCTTCATGCTGATGACAGCGAAGCCCCTGCGATCGTCCTCTGTTTTCTTCTCATCGGTGTTTGCATCACCCGTGGAGGTATCGTTGTCGTTCGCGTTGCTGAAGCTGAATGTATCCTTTCCCCCCCCTTTTTTCCCTTCGGGAGCCCAAGCATTAATGGAGCCAAAACCATCTTCTTTCTTCTCGTCATCTAGTTTGTTCTTTTTGTTATCTTCAAGACTCAGGTTAAGGGTACCGCCGGTATTCCAATTATTTGCCCAGCCGCCAAAGTTAAATCCCATAGACTTGTTCGTATCAACACCAGCATCAAAAGATAAGTTGAGCTGGGGAGCACCTGCGTCTGCATTTATATCCTGCAAAGAGTGGGGAGGTGGTTTTTCAGCCGGTGGAGGATCAGCAGTCTGACCAGTAATTAGTGACTGTCCTCCTTGGGTGAACAATAGTGATCCTGTGACATACCTTGTTCTTTTTCCCCTTCTTCTTCTTCGTCGTATATCCACCCCAGTCGTTTTCCACATTGGCAGCAGGCACATCATCAACCCAACTGAGTGAATTTCCAGCATTATCAGCTGCTGCGGCAGAGGCAGCCATATCCTCAGCTTCTTTTGCTTTCTTTTCATCCTCTTTTGACTTTCGCTCCGCTTCTTCCTTTTCTTTTTGTTCTCTTTCCTCTTCCTCTTCCTTCTTATTTTTCTTGTTCTTCTTTTTCTTCCCACCGCCTGTCTCCCACGAGTCGTCATCGCCATCTCCGCCATCATCTCCTCCACCTCCGCCTCCAGTGCTACCCCCCGCCCCGCCATGTCCACTGCCGCCGTCTCCATTTCCGCCGTCGCCAGCTCCACCCGCTGCCTTACCTTTGTCGTCTCCTTTATCGGAGCCATTCCACTTATCTTGAGCAACCTTCTTTTGGGATTTTTTCTGCTTTTTCCCGTGAGATCTAAATTTAGACAAATCGTTCAAGTCGATTGATATGGGTGTTATAAGATTTCCGGATGATGGCCCGTCCTTCCTTGATATTCGAACTCCTCTGGTAATTATGGGAGCGGAATCCGGCGTGTCAACACGGCAATGGGCAAATTCATCCTGACTCATGTATGCAGGAGGCATGTCTGCAATTGCTTTATCGTAAGGGGGAGGCGGAGTGCCGGAAAGAGGTGATGGGTTACATTCTAGTAAGAGTCGCATTTCGGCGACCAAGGCCGCTGCCTTCAAAGATGCGGCATATGCGACGTAAAACTGGAGCTGTGCAGATAAGCATTTGAACAAAAGGAGTACGTATCCCACAATTTTTCACGAGCCGCCAACGGGAAGGAAATAAAAATCGGTCCAGATGCGAGAGCGATTTCATACGCGGGCAATGACCAAGAGAACAAATCGGCAGGTTCTGTTGCTACTGTTATGAGAGGTAAAAGGCGACCATCACCAAGAGCAATGGTAACAAATTGAAGAGCATTGAAACAGATAAACATCGGCGTAACATTACTGGCATCAAGTTCTATACGTACCGTCGGCTTTGATCCATGATTTACCACGACTTCCGTACGTTTTGCCAGAGAAACCTCTTCAAGATTACCACTCGCATTTTGACCGCCGTACTCATTTTGTGTCGTTACCATATCGTCAGTACACCAAGCATGCTTATTCATAAGTTCTGACTTGGTGCGGGAGGGGAGTACTGAAAAAGTGATTTTTGTAGATCCCAGATTGTGCGCCTGTGCGCCAGACGCATATAGCATCGCAATACCGATTGCAAATTTCAATAGAGCTAGCGCGTAGGGCTCTCTCTAAAGTCATGGATGGCGTTCTTGAAAGGAAAACACGTACTGGAGAACGTAACGATGCGAAGAGGCGGTAAGAGGTGGTGGGGTTAACACTACGGGACAATGATGCTGTGTGGTGCCGATTCTTCCCCGAAGATTCAGAAAATAATAGTACGATAACTAAAGACACAACCCATCCAGACGTTCAGGACAGATTAACTAAACCGAGTCGTTAGATCTCCTTGTAAAATCTCTAAGGCTCGGTTTTTTTGTTCCTTAATTTTCTTCCGAACTTTTCTTTGCCGCTTATGCGCTGGTTATAAGGAGTGGACCAGTTAAAAGCTGAGATATTCGATGTGGGTTTAATGGGATGGGAGCCGCAAAGTCCTTAAACAAGCCCCTGCAAGTTTGACTGGCGGAGTCGCGATCCTGCAGGATACCAATTGAAGAACTCCAAATCTTGACACGGAGAAATATCGCAAAGGCACTGACTGGTGTTCGATCTGATTAAAACGCGCGTTGATGCAGTGAGCTACACTCTTGTTGGATACAGAAACAGAGTGTGATCCATCAAATGAAAATGCTACAACAACTAACCGATGACTAGAGCAAAGACAACATTGATATGAATTACTCCAACGGAGAGAGGAGGAAGAATGGCGTCAACGCGTCGTAGTTAGAGCCATGGGACGAGAGATGGTAACCCAGCTTTTTGGTGTAGGGTGTAACTAAACTTGGAACTGGCGGCTGGTCACAAGGATCCCTGAGCAAAATCAAAGCAGTTCACGATTAGTTCTAGTTTTTGTCTCTGTCGTCTGTCAGTGTGCGGCTGGATGTGGATGCTGTATCAAAGTTGCGTTATGTATGCAAAACGGTCACCACACCGGTCCCCGAAACCATGCTCTCCCTTCTTGTTGGTGTTCCAGCCTTCTACAGTCGGGTGCATCAGATTTCGGATTCGCCTATCCAGTCCGTGTTGCAGGCTTGAGTCGATGCTGGTTGGAAGCGGTTGGTGGTGTGGGAAGTCGGAAACTGGGCCAAGTGGGCTGATGAATGAATGGGAGGGTGTGGGCGGATGATGATTGGGAATACGCGGAGCTGATATCACGCAAGGAACAATCCAGTTGCTGCGAAAACGACGAGTGACTGGTTGGGATCGCGACGAATGCTCTCTTCTCTTCTCTCTCTCTGGCTCGTCGCTGAGGCTGGTCGTTCTTGATGGTTGTATTTGCTTTTTCTCTTCTTGCTCTTTGACTTAAATTATTTTTTGTCTGTGTATCGTACGGATCGTCTAATTAATCAATCACGAGATAGCTAGAAAAAGGAAAAATAAAAAAGAAAATAAAGGAAAATAAAAGAAAAAGACGAAGAAAATAAAGTAAAATAATGCTAGAGTGTTAATCGATAAGCATCCCAAGCCAAAGGAGGCGGGATGGAGAAGGAGAAGAAGAAAAGGCAAGATATGAAAATGTTAATAGTTCAAACCCTCCCATTTCTTCAACGTGACGCATGTGGGATAGAAGGAAAATACAAAACAAACCCCAAAGAGAAACAATTGACTTGGACCTCCCGGTTGCAACCTTGGGTAAAGGCTCTGGTGGCTGGCGATGTGTGAGGGCGCCAGCAGCAAGTTTAGGTAAAGCCCGCCGGGGGTGGACTCCCTAGCGACGACTCTCAAAAGGGGCTAATGCTCTGTTATGATCTGCCTGGGCAACTAACTCTAGTTAAGACCCGGCGGAGACTCAAGCAAAAACGATTACCATCTTAGCAACATTAAAAAAACGATAATAGAAATCACCATATAACGACGATATATTTATTCCTTCCTCCTACATGCCTTCTCACAGCAAAAATGCGAGCAACTTCCCAGATAGTGGCATCGCCCCGAAATCAACCATTCGAATTGCTTTCTTTTTTCTTCGGCAGCTTTTTCTTCTTCGGCAGCTAAACTCCTCGTCATGTCCCCGCGTCTCACTAGCATCTCTTCACCACATATGTAGAAAGGAAACATGTAACTAATAGGACTTCTCATACCCTCACCATTTTCATGCTCTTCCAAGGTTGGCCTTCAAATAGATCCAATCGGGTCTTGCATATCAAGATTAGCAGGGTCGCAGGTCAGCCTGCTCAACGCGTCTTGATAGGCAATTGAGGGAGGGTTCAGGAGAAGAAGAAGAAAAAATAATAAAGTCAGAAGAAGGCAAGAAACACAACAGCGACTGTTGCAGCAATAATTGCCGCTGGAACTTCAGCCGTCTCAGATGCCTCTTTCGGATCAGAATTTTGAACAAACTCTCTCACTTATATACACCAATCTGCTTCCTGGGCCCTCACGTGGATACCAGTGCTTTTTTCATCAGAGGCTTGGCTGATTCGAGGGCTCCTGGAGAGTCGAGGACACGGACAAATCTGCAGGCAGAAAATGATCCCCTTTGCGCTGAACAACCTGAATAATGAACTATCGGGGTCTTTTCAATGGAGCAACAATTGCCTCTTTTATTACTCCCCTGCCTTTTCCCTCTGGCAAGGCTCAAGAGTTCTCTTGACTCTGATTTCAAGCTTCCACCTATGCATATATTATGAGGCGTGTTTCAAATTCTTTATATTCATTTATAAGGGCTCAATTTCAATTGATTCAAGCAGGATTTCACTTACTGATTTTTGCTCTGGGAATTCACTATAAGCTGAAAATATGACTTCTCGGGGACATGTAACTATATATGACAAGCTATCAGCAACTCTTCCTCCATTGAATGAAGCATTAGTTAACTTAAACCTCATGACAGAGAAAAACATCCAGAGACTTCAAATACCTCTCAATGAATCCAGAAGCTCAGTTGTCCATGTATTTCTTCACATTTTGTTTAGAAATTTCACACGGGTACAAGTGTAAGAAAATGAATCTTTGTAACACATTACTTATCTACTTTTGTATGAGATTGTAACACCTGAGATTGAAGACTGTGTCAGACCCTTCCCCATATACTCGTTCTTGAAGTTAGGAACCTTTGCAATCGATCAGGCTTGCCATTCTGTCAGATTGAAGACAAACACTTCTGCCAATATGAGAAGAATTTCTGCTACTTATTCTGCCTGCAAAGAGGTCAAATAATTTTTATTTTTTATTATTGTTTGGCGAAGAAACAGAAGACCCTCAGACCCTAAGATCTCTGTTCGAACACTGAACTAATGCATCGAGATCCATCAATCACATACTCAGAAGCTGTGAGTCTTTCATCTCTTATCATTTCCCGATTGCCGTGAGCAGGAAGGGATGCAAGAAAGGCAAATGGACATGTGGTACATATTCCATCCGCTTCAGAAGGCCTGGTTGACTTTACAATGCTTAATTAAAGCGCTGCTCCCCCAAGGTTGACACGTGTCGACTTAGGGGATTTAAACAGTGTATGTCATCTGGCTAACAAATAGCATAAACAATTAATCTCCCCTTTCTCCATACAGAAAACAACGTTAAACAATGGTATTGACAGAAGACGCCAGTGACAATAACAGACATGGATACCAAAGGAGTGCGCCTAGCTAGCTGAACGTATTCAGTATATCGATGGACGAATGCCAGCTTGAGAATAGTAGGAATGAGCTCGGGGAAGACCAATTCAAAACTAATATAGGGAGAATAAGTGAAAACCGTAAGGAGAACAGTAGCCCGCCATCCACCTTGGTTTTAGTCTGTGCTAGAATTACAGGATTTCGTTCCAGGTGTCATTTACGCAGGACTTGGGGACTTAGGCTGATTTGGGGGTTCCATGCCATAAATGGATTTATACTGCTGCAGGTATTTGTTCTTATTCTCAAGTGCCATTTGTTGAAATTTCTGTTGAAACTCCTGTTAGATTTGTATAAAAGTAGGTTGATTTGACTGCAAGTAGGGGATTTGACATCGGGGATAACAAAAGGAAAAGGATCTGAAATTAAAGAAATCTTACGAACCTCCTTTTCACCCGCTGTCATACCTCGCCATGCGGCCGCAGTCTTGGACATCGGTTCATTGTGGGATATTTCTCCACTTGCGAATAATTCCTTGATGAAATGCATGTATGCATTAGCTGGTCGCTTGAGCTGTCTATCATCATATATTTTCCCGAAGCCCTTCGTCGTTTTGAGCAATTTGCGGAGCCTTTGGCGGGCGGCATTGGCCTTTTTGATCTGAAGTGGGGTGTGCCTTCTCACCCAGTCTTGAAGCATGGTTTTGTTACCAGCGCGGTTCGATCGAGCAGTCTGAATAAGACGCTGAATGATCTAATTAGTAACTTCACATCAAAAGGGATTTGGCAATGGTAGGTGCAGGGCATTTCATCCTACCTCACGTTCAGCTGGACTTAAATTCTTGTAAGCTTCAGCACCGGCCCCAAACCGCTTCAGTTGTAGTTGAAGGATCGTGATAGGGAGTTCCGGAAGGCCTTTCGGAGGATCCAGTGCGACAGCCTTCAAATTTTTGATCTCCTCTCTAACCTTCTTCTTTCGCAAAATTTCCATCTGCTTTTCGGTCAACTGCTTATTCGGCTTGCGGGAACCTTTGACCTTGGATTTCGTTTTGCGTTTTGCCTTGGTCGACTTCTTTACAGTTTTCCTGGAAGGCTTTTTCGCGGTTGCTGCTTTCTTTTTAACCGGCTTGGAATCTGCCTTAGAAGCAGCAGTGTCAGCCTTTGCTGTTCCAGTCGATGTCGCGTACGTTTTCTTTAAGAGAATCGGCAGCGGGTTATGGAACAATCGGGAATTCCACGATGCTGAGAGTGTTCGAACAGAGCCGATAGAAGAACATAATGCCAGAGAGTTGCCAAGCGCCACGCGAGCTCTAGCAGGTTTTGCTTCAACCAACTTCGCACACGTCAGGAGCACACGACCACGGCGCGAGAGAACAAGAGTCATTTTAAATGGAGTAGTATATTTCGGGGGGACAATGAGGTATTAGCCAAGTGTTGACAGAAAAGAAAGACAATTGCACAGTATAGGTTGCGCAATGCCCTTTGACAATGGATTACCTCCTTTCAGAGATGGCGGCGATGATGTGATTGTTGATGAGAGGATGCAGTCGTGGATGAACGAGGAGGTTTGTTTATTTAGGTCCAGCCGAAAAGAGGAAAGCCCCGTATCAGAAACCACTAGCCCGTTTGAGGATAGCGTTGCCAAGATATCGAATGATGCTCCGTTCCGCTCCAAAAAGACTCAACCTTCCAATTTCGATGGCGACAGAAGACTTTCACTCTTACAACCGCATACATCTTAGGTCGAGCAAAAAGGTGAAGAGATTTAAAAAGGGCCATATATTTCCAGGAGGTATCGGCAGAATCAACCTAGATTACGTTCATTTGTCCGCCGTCAACATTATGGTGGACACTTAAGTGCGCTTCCCTTGCGCAGAGCTAACCCTGTTAAAACATACTCCATATCATTGGAGTTATCCAGCAGTAATACCTACTCATTCACAATTTGGCCTGCGAGATGGCTAGGGATACTCGCTCACCATCGCCTGTAGGCAGCACCCACTCGTTCAAACGAAGCCGCAGGGATGAGGACCGGAATGATAGAAGTCGGTGGGATGAGGTGAAGGGACATCGGAGGTCACGAAGTCCTGACGTAAGTTATTATAAACCACAATGTGCGGCATTTGTACTATAACTAATGTTTCTCTTTCCACAGAGGCGATATCGTGACCGCGATCGGGAGAGAAATTCTTATCGGAGACGAGACCGTTCGCGCGATGACCGCCGGGACGACCGCCGGGACGAAGACTCGTATCGCCCCACTAAAAGAGACCATTCCAGAACTGGATATCGATCCCGTGATCGAGACGACGATAGAGACTATCGTCAGAGAAGTCGCGACAGAGAACGTCGAAGCAGGCGAGATGATTCCCGTGACCGGGCCCGAAGAAGACGGGGCGACTCTACTGATTCCAGGCGCGATTCTAGACGAGGCGATAGCAGAGAACGAGTTTCAAACAAGGGTTCTGGCGTCAAATCCCAAGAGGTCAGTTGCCACACTCTCCCCTTTTACATTTCTTGAGCTTACGCTTATCCCTTTTTTCAGACCTCGAAACCCTCTACGCCAGCGCCTACTCCTGCACAAACCGACGAGGAAAAAAAAGCTGAAAGGAGAGCGAAGTTTCAAGCTTGGAAAGAAAAAGTCGCAGCAGAGCGAGAGAGGAAAGAGAAGGAACTTGCAGCTTCAGGTGGGGCGAGGAGTATTCTTGATGAGATTGATAAAAAGATCCCATTGCCTCAAGGGGTCGCATCTCCCGATGCTGCAACAATCTCTCCCACGGCTGAAGCTGCACCTACCCCATATGCTGGAAAATTTGAACCTAAGGCAACTGCAAAAAAGGCTGCTGCATCATCTACAGAACCGTCGTTGTTGGGCAATGACATAGCCATCCCTAGTATCTCTACGTCCTCTGCACCATTCACTCATTCGATTGCCGGGAGCAAGGCCAACAAATCTTCTGTTTCTGCAAGTGCTATCTCTTGTAAGCCTCCATTCCCTTCATTTTATTCCATCTTGTCCGCTTTTTACAAGTTCACTTGCTAAGTTCTTTTAATAGCAGCAACATCACTGAAAGCCGGAGGAACCATAAGTGGCTTTGGCCTAGGTGTTAAACCGGTCTCAGAAACAGACAAAACTTCTTCCAAGAGAGCTTTGGATTTTGGTGAAGAGGAATCAACACAGCGGAAACTAGCAAAGCTTCCCGATCCTCCATTGGAAGATGTAAACGAACAAAATGCCAACGGGGCAGTCGATGGCGCTGATGAAGATGATGACGATGTTGATATCCACGATGGTGGAACGGAGGAAGAGAATGCTGCTGCCGCAAGAGCAGCCGCAGAAAAGCGAGAGGAACGACTACAAAGCCAAGGCCTTGTCCGGCAGGTTCAGCTCGATGTTCTACCTGAAGGCGCGGCCTCTAACGGTCCCAATGGCGATGTTGCCATGCCAGATGCTGCTGGAGACACTGCTCCTCCTGTCGCGATGGACGTGGAGGAAGAAGAAGAAGAAGAAGAAGAAGAAGCTGACCCACTAGATGCATTCATGTCTGGTCTTACCAAATCTGACCCGACTCAAAATGGTCGCAGTGGGGCGAAATTCTCCAAATCAAAACAACAGCCTGAAGCAATATTTGGAGACGAAGATGATGTAGATATGAACGCGATTGATCCGGAAGCAGATGATTTCCTAGCAATTACTAGCAAAGCAAGAAAAAAGAAAGATTTACCGCCGGTGAACCATGAAAAGATGAATTACGAACCGTTCCGTAAAGCATTTTATGCTGAGCCGGTTGATTTAGCGGGGCTTACGGAAGAGGAAGTCGCAGCTTTGAGACTGGAGCTTGATGGGATAAAAGTACGTGGAGTTGATGTCCCGAAACCCGTGCAGAAATGGTCCCAATGTGGATTGGGAGTCCAGACACTAGATGTCATTCGGAAACTTAACTATGAAAACCCAACGTCAATTCAATCTCAAGCAATTCCAGCAATCATGTCAGGAAGGGATGTAATAGGAGTGGCCAAAACCGGGTCGGGCAAGACTATCGCATTTCTGCTCCCCATGTTCCGACATATCAAAGATCAACGGCCCCTAGAGAACATGGAAGGTCCGATAGGGCTGGTAATGACCCCAACACGGGAATTGGCAACTCAAATTCATAAGGAATGCAAACCTTTCCTAAAGGCGTTGAATCTTCGAGCGGTTTGTGCATATGGAGGAGCCCCGATCAAGGATCAAATCGCTGAATTAAAACGAGGGGCGGAAATTATCGTCTGCACGCCTGGAAGAATGATTGATCTTCTCGCTGCAAATGCTGGGCGTGTAACGAATTTGCGGAGGGTGACATATGTGGTGTTGGATGAGGCGGATCGAATGTTTGACATGGGCTTTGAGCCGCAGGTGATGAAGATCCTGGGAAATGTCCGGCCACAGAGACAAACGGTTTTGTTCTCAGCCACCTTCCCGCGCAACATGGAAGCCCTTGCTCGAAAGACGTTAACGAAACCAGTGGAAATTGTCGTTGGCGGAAGAAGCGTTGTTGCGCCAGAAATCACACAGATTGTAGAAGTCCGCAATGAAGATACTAAATTTGTGCGACTCTTAGCTCTACTCGGTGACCTTTACGCAGATGACAATAACGAGGACGCTCGCACTTTGATCTTCGTCGATCGGCAGGAAGCGGCGGATGGTCTGCTCCGCGACCTTATGCACAAGGGTTACCCGTGCATGTCTATCCATGGAGGTAAAGATCAAGTTGATCGGGACTCCACAATAGCTGACTTCAAGGCCGGTGTATTTCCTATACTTATTGCGACCTCAGTTGCGGCTCGCGGCCTCGATGTAAAACAATTGAAACTTGTCATTAACTACGACGCTCCCAACCATCTCGAGGACTACGTTCACCGGGCTGGCCGAACTGGGAGGGCGGGCAACACTGGAACTGCAGTGACGTTTTTGACTGAAGTCCAGGAACGATATTCGGTAGATATATCCAAAGCATTGAAACAGAGCGGCCAACAAGTTCCTGAAGCCGTACAAAAAATGGTCAATTCGTTTATCGAAAAGGTCAAAGCAGGAAAAGAGAAGGCAAGTGGCTCTGGGTTTGGTGGGAAGGGACTAGAGCGTCTCGACCAGGAACGTGATGCAGCTAGAAACCGTGAACGGAAAACGTACAAAACTGGTGAAGAAGGTGAAGAAGAAGAAAAAGAGGGAAAGAAGGATAAGAAAGAAGATATATTTTCCAAGGCGGCCTCTGCCGTCCAAGCTGCATCCATTCCGGCACCAACACCAGGCGTTCCCAAGGGGATTGATCTGGATGGCAAGATCACGGTTCACAAAACCGAAAAGCCTACTACGTGCGCTTCAAATAATCCTCTCGACAAAGTTGGCTCCGCGGTGGCCGATATCCATGCTCGGTTGAACAAGGCTGGCGTCATGCGGTCCGGTGTACCCATCGACAATAAGGGTCCTGATGCTGGAGCGTTCCACGCCACCCTAGAAATCAACGACTTTCCGCGTAAGTACCTATCTATTTGCTTTAGTATTTTTAGTTTTTCAGTTTTCTGCTATCCACCCTTCAAATATGCTTAACTAACAATACTGTCACTACAGAGAAAGCAAGATGGGCTGTCACCAACCGAACGAATGTTGCGAAAATCCTCGAGGCCACAGGGACCTCAATCACAACTAAAGGCAGCTTTTACCCAGCAGGCAAAGAGCCTCAGCCGGGCGAGAACCCCAAGCTATACATTCTTGTTGAAGGAGATACAGAATTGGTTGTTACCAATGCAATGCGGGAACTCATGCGTCTTTTAAAAGAAGGAACTATTGCTGCTGCAGACAGTGAAGCTAGAGCTCCGGCCAGTGGCAGGTATAATGTTGTGTAGAAAACTTATTGAATTTTTTTTTTTTTTTTCAACGCTTTACTTTTAATGTTCCGTTGCCTTTTCAGGCTGTTGGTGTTAGCATTTGGACTCTATTCGGCGGCTCTGGTTCCTTTTTCTTTATTGAAACAAGGACTTGTAAAAAGAGATGGCACACTTCTCGTCTAATTTTGGTCAATGACATCATTACCGACTGTGATATAAAAAATTATCCAGCTTCACTTTCACGATAGATTATGTGTAAGCGAGATAATAGATTCTAGGCCAAATTTCATGACCAAAAAATTTATTTCCTGTTCTTAGTCAAACATTCCAAACAGCGCTTCATTATCAAACTATGCGAATTGCGGCTTGTGGCGTGGCCCTTCAATGACAGGGTGACTATCCATAGATGCATTATACGTTTACTCCCGAAGACATATCATAAAGCTCTGAAAATAATTCAAGTACGTAAAATACGCTCATAGTTTTATCAATTAGAACTAAAAAGGTATCAGGCAGCATCTAACCAAACGTTACAGGTCAAATAGGGACGTAGAGAAAGGAAATTCAGGAACAGAAGTCCCAAAACACAAGACGCCATGGAAGGGTTGGGCCAGAGTATCAACATCAAAAAAGAAGGGGAATGAAATCGTCATATATACACTGAAGAGCCGGAACACACAAAGGAAATAAAGCAAAACAACGGACATGAGGGATGACGTTGAACCTAATCAGCCGCATTTAATCTATTGATGAAGAAGAACAACATAAAACACCTGACGTGACAAGCGGAATGCAGAAGCTTTCGAAGGTTTTTGGGGGGGGGGGGAAAGAAAAAAGAAAAAGAAGAGCAGGCATCGTCCTACCAAAGCCGGGAAAGTATAACCGTAGATATTCAAAGATATGTTCAATCCCACCTTCTCACAGCTTCGGCCGCGTCCGCTTCCCTCGTAGCGCGGTTATGACGACTGGTTTCATCCAGTGTTTCGTTCCGAGTCTGGGCCTTCTGCGCTGCAAGCCGAGAGTTTAATTTTCCCTTTTTAGCTGCGGAAGCTTGTTTGGCAGCTCGTTCCTAAAGCGGGGGAAAACGCAGGGGATGCGAACAAATTAATACACTTTTATCCTAAAGGGTAAAAGAAAGGCGAAATAAAAAAAACAAAGTGTTCAAGCCTGGGGAGGTGGGGACGGGAAAACATTATATAATGTAACGGTGAATGATGAGTACTACTAACCTCCGCAGCCCGCGCAGCCGCATTCCGCGGATCATCGTTCCCTCGACTTGACCCCTGGCTGCCGCCTAGTGTTCTCCCAGCGTTGGCCTGTGAGTCGACCTGGTGCGGCAGTGGGGCGCGGGGCGCCTGGGACGGGTTGGGGTTTGTTCCGAGGACGCGGCCGGGATGCGCAAATGGTTCGGTTGGGTTGGAGCCTTTGGAGCAGAGGCTTCCCATGGCAGGCGACACAGGTTTCCAATGGGGTGTGAGGACTGGTTGTTTAACTGAGGGAAGCCGGTTTGTCCTTTCTCCTCGTTTACTTTGTCGAAGACGCAGAATGCAAGTCAAAAGGAGCGGGGACCCGAGAGATCGAGGAAGCTAGGTAGTTACAGGATAAAAGTACCGGGGTGGCGAGAGGATTTGGGGTTGGGAGATTGGGCAAGAGGTTTTAGAGATAGATATGATGGGAAACAAAACTGTAGAGAATTATGCTATATATGGATATTGGATACGGATCTGAGATCCTGCATTCGTATCTCTCTCTGCAAAGCGGATCCTTCGCAAAGCGGAGTCGCGCGCGCAAGGAGGAGCAAATTAGGGCTTGACCCTTCCCCGAAGAAGATGCCAGTTAGGGTTTGGGGCTCCGTGCCCAGCCTCACCACGTGACTGTATTGCCTCCCGAGCACAAGCTTTCAGGGATGCGAGAGGTCTCCCCCCAGAGGGCAGCATCTGCCACTGAGTGCCAGGAATCCCGGACTCGAGCATTCTACAGGACGGATCCGCGTGGATGTAGAAATCTTCTGCAATAATCCTCGTGTTGACGGTTGTATGGTTTATCGATCAACAAGCAGAGCAGCGTTGCTGCGTTTCAATTTTTCAACGATCCGGGACTCACAAGGTCCTCAAACGTTGCTTCTGCCGTTTTCGACCTCCTCCCGCTATTTTTCGACCACGACCACCTATACGATCTTCTCTACCTCCACAACTGCATTTACAAAAGCAACCGCAGGGCCTATGGTCTGTGCAGCTTGGGAAGAGGAAGCCCCTGGGTCTGTGACACGCCCATTTGTCGTTCGTTGTCTGATCCGTTAGCTGGCTTGGGCCTCATTTGGACCCTCCGAAGAGCTGAGAGGTTCCAATATCCGCGCCCTTCCTTATTCCCTAAAAGTCGGCCATTGTTGACCAACGCTTCCTGTTGATGCCGCGGCAGCAAAAGGAAGGACGTAGGTTCTGCCTTGAATGCCAGGAATCTTTCCAAATGGCCGAAAAGAACTCCCAAGTTCTCCGCAACTGCGTCGACCCAACTGCGTGCTGGAGTGTTTCTCCCACCGAACATTGTTCCTCATATCCTTCGTGCCAAATGGCGGACCCATGCTGTGATGACGACAACTGTTCTGTCGAATGTTCATCTGTTTGTGATGGCTTTGTTGCCTGTGATTCCTCCACCGTTTGCTCAGATGCTCATTGCGATGATCAGGACTGTCAGAACCTGGCCCCAGTTTGTTTCGACCAAAGCTGTGTAGGGGATGGCCGCACTGGCATCGATGACGGAATATGCAACATTCTCAATCAAGACAGCTCCTTTACTTGGAATTCAGCAAACCTCCTTCCGTCTGCAAATACAGCACATTTCAATCAGTCGTTTCACCAGCCTGCGACCAGCCTCTGCCATGATTTACAGTCCATGAACCATTTCACTCCATCAGAACCTTCGTTAACAACCAAAAACTATGCCTTCCAATTTCACCAAAACCAGGATTCTCCCCTACGGCAATCTACAGTAACGGAGCCATCGACTCCGTCTGGGCCTATTTTGAAACAAATTATCGACATTTGTCCAAACCTAGACAACTGCAACCATCAATCCCACTTCGGGCCCGTTTTTTCGGATTGCAATCCAGATGAATTTCTCGGGTTTATACCAATGGAATTTCAGACTCAGTTCCATTCTTTATATCCACAGTTATATCCACGGTTTAACGGTGGCTTGAAATTGCCCTGCGAAATGCAACCTCAGCACGTTCACAAAAATGTATCACACCTAACTCATAATTCTAATCGCCCTGTGTCGTCGAGTTTGGACTCCGTGAACTTAAAGTCTAGCTCACCTTTAAGTCCACCTCCGAAAGACAACGATATTACACGCCCGTTCACAAGTCCGGAAGTTGAGACGACGAACGAGTCTCACGTTTGCAGATGCATTATCAAAACAGATAAATCACAAAATACCATCTGTGGAGAGTTGTTTCCCGATGCTGGCAAGCTCCAAGAGCATTTAGTTCAAACACATGTTGGCATGATTAGCGGGTCCCAGGGGTATGGATTCTACTGCTGCTGGGAAGGCTGTCATCGCGCCGATGAACCCTTCTCGCAAAAATCAAAACTTCAAGGGCACTTTCTAACACATAGCAATTGTAAGCCTACCTTCCTCACCGCGATATCTACGTAATTTCAATTGCTCTTCATAAAATTCACAAGTATCGTCTAACCGTGTTCTTCAATTTAGACAAGGGTTTCCAGTGTTCCGTCTGCGGGAAGCCGTTTGCCAGACAAGCAACTCTAGAGCGCCACGAAAGAAGCCATCGCGGAGAGAAGCCGTATGCTTGCAAGCTCTGCCAGAAGGCATTTACCGACAGCAGTGAACTTAGTGAGTGTTGCAATTTCGCCTTATTGCTGTAATCTTTATGCTAATCAAGACTAGAAACACACATGAGAGTTCACACTGGTGAAAAACCTTTTAAATGCAACCATCCCGGTTGTACCTTTGAAACTGGAGATGTAAGCTACCCTTTATAGGTCCGCCATTCAGTCCTAGTGTGTATGCTAATATTCTCGAATCCAGTCATCAAATATGTCCAGTCATAAACTCAGTGAGTTGCCCAATCTCTCTGCGGAGAGGATTTCCATGATGTATCTTCTAAACTAACATTATTTTTTTTTCTTTTTTAATTCAGCTCACGGAGTCCGAAAACACAAATGCCATTTTCTTGGGTGTTCGAAAAGTTTTACTCGGCCAGGTATGTTCGCACACACGATTCTCATTAGAAGCAAATTTGAACGGAGTCTAATTTGGAATCTCACATTGCAGATCAGCTAAAACGGCATATAAAAACAACCCACAAAGAAGATCTTAACCATTTAGTCCCGCTTCCCTCGCCCGTAGTCAATCAATTCCCTCTCCCTCAGTTTCAGCCCGCGTCGGGGCACTCGTCCATACCCGTTCCTTATCTAGGGGCCGCTATACCATTAACAAGCAAATAAAAGTCCACTACTAAACGAAATACGGCATTGTTCTGATTACAGTCTCCGTTTCTAGAACGTCATACTTTTCAGTCATTTTCTTTTACCCTTAGTAATTAAATCGGATGGCTTTTTTGGTTAGGTTTCTTGAGCGAAATTTAAAAAAGAAGGAAAACGAGGTAACGGCCATAACTTTTTGTATACTTTACCCAAATCCCCACCCATATGTCAAGATACATATGTTTTTCAACGAGTTTCCGCTTGGCTCCAGCCATTGTTTGGTTTTCTGGGATTGTTTTCGGGACCCACACCCCGTTCCTGCCCCTGGTAGGGTTAGCAGTTTGCCACTGCAGTTGATTTCTGCGCCTTCTTTTGAGCATTTGGAGAAATTTGGAGAATGCAGTAGATTCATCTCTCGAGGAGCTTGACTACACTACCATCTAAGAAAGGAAGAGGCGATCATGTATATATACACTACAACCTGTGCACAAAATCGTATACCCATTTACAGCTGTAATTGAGAGACATAAAAGAAAGACAAAGCCGCAAGAAATGTTAACATGTGAAATTTTATTATTCGCGGTAATGAGATTCTATATATTTTATTCCTGCATAGACGGCAGTTTTGTGGTTCTCGAAAACTTTAACTAACTCTACCAGATTTTCGGAGAATATGACGGCTTCATGCGTCTTCCTAAATGCACAACTAACCATGGAAGCTACATACTCAGGGGACAAAACCGATCTGGATCGATCCGAGGAACCGTAGATATATATATATATATATAAAAAGAAAAACAAAACACAATTGCAAACAGCAGATCCGATCTATCCCTTCACCCATATCTTCAAAACGGATACCAAGGGATCTGAAGAACAACGTCCTTCTCAAAACCCTCGCCTCTAACGCACTAATTTCTGGGTCCTCCTACATCAGCACTCCCGAACACTCTCCTCAAGCAGTTGCACCGCATTCCTCAACTCCCCCATCCTCTGCCCAACCCTCCTCTTAATCTCTTCCCGAATCTCCTCCGGAACCTCGTCAGGATTAAATTTCGTGCCCCTTTTCTTCGCCTCCGTTCCCGCTTCCTCCTCCCGCTGACCCTTATCTCCCGTTGACCCGTCATTGGTGGGGGCATCCGGGTCTCGGGTTTGTGGTGGGGATATGGACCACTGCTCCAGATCTGAGGGATGCGGTTTTGAGCCTGTATACGCGGCATAGACACAGTCTAGATCATCGAAAGCTTCGCGGAGAGATAATCGGTCCGAGACGGTGTAGATTGTACAGGCAGCTGCGGATTCAGCGGCAATTTCGAGCTTGGTGTGAACTTAGAATTTTCCTCTCTCTTTTTTTTTTTTTTTTTTTTTTTTTTTTTTTTTCAGGGGAAGGGCAGGTTGTTGCATCTTTTATGTTTGATGTTTGCGTACCTCGTCTTTTGCAATTTCGTACCTAATTACATCGAGACGAAAAACAGTATTAAATTTAGTCAGCTACGCAAGTTCGAGTTCGTATGTTTCCGATAACTATCGCACGTAGATAGGGAGGTGGATTGAGCAAGACAAGACGAAGAAGAGGCTCACAAATCTTCAATTTCTTGAATATAATCATCAGCTTTTGGCCGTTTTGTTTGTGGTGTGGTCGAATTGTTTCTTCCCAGATAGCGCGGATACAGTGTCACTGTAGCTGTTACCATAGAACCCGTTCGTACAGAGTTTCTGTCGACCTTTGGACGACTACTGGCCAAAGATAGATGTCTTGGAGAGGCCCGAAAACTTAGCGAGGCCACCCGCCGTGTCGGGTGTGACAGGCGAGTTAAGATGCTTGGCCTGCAGACAGCCATTCCTCGTGAAACAGGTACAATTGCCGGTGGCTGGTGAGGGTTTTTTTTCTTTTTTTTTTTTTTTTTTTTTGTTCGCAATTTCGTCTACTTCCTCCGTATAAAAGTTCCAGTTGGATAGCCGGTTTGCCAGAGTCAAAAAAGTAGTAACAGATAAAAGTCAAATGGTAACGCAAGTATAGCCCAAGCTGCGCAACTAGCCCCGGGATACCTGGAATAAGAGAGGAATGTAGCACCACAATCCCTTTTGTTGAGGAGGGATTGGGCCTTGTCCAATTGTGGGTTTGCGGTCGGGCAGATGATGACGTCAAGGTTTCTCCCCTCCGTCGTTTGAAAATCCATCTGATCAGAGGCTCGTTCGATACAGCTAGTTACTGACTGCACAACCCCCGAATTATCCACCAAAAACGCCACGAACCAGTTGATGTTTATTTCTTTTGGCTTAATTTCTTCAAGTTCAGAAATCGTTAGCCACACTCATGTTAGAACATGGAGTTTTGTATGTAATTTCGCATGGGGGTGGAGCGAACGATCCATGGCTATAAAAGCTGGGTGAAATTCTCAGATATTAGCGAGCTGAGCAGAGTTGGAAGGAAAACAGTGGTTATTCACTTATTTATTGGATTGTCCTCTGATACATAAAACAAGAGTCGTGGATTTCAGGCTGGATCATCTCAGTATTTCTTGATATGAATTAACAAATCCCTCTTAAGGTGGTGGGAAACGTCTTCCTAAGCCACAAGATGACACACTATTTTGAAAACCGCGTCCTCTCGCCGCATCTCTTCACTCGTTCCCCCATAACCATGCGCAAGATCCTCCCACCACCTTGGCACCTCATCCACAATCACTATGTCGCCTGTTAAATATTTGCGTTTGGCAACAGGTAACTTGGTCCGTTCTTAAAGAGCGGTGGGCGTAAGGAATGGAATTTGCTTCTTTTCTACACCATGTCCTTGGAAACGACGGATTAACTAATAGCCTCATCCAGCCGTCATCAATTCCTCGGGAATATTTCTTCCAGCAATGGACCCTTCCCACGGACACTCCCTATTCCTGTTGGACTACGTCAGAAACCTTCTCTCGATATCTCATCCCGCCAACTCCTGCAACAGTGGCTCAGCTCCAGAGCTGATATTCTTGACACTGCTGCATATGTCATAGCGTTTGCTCAATACAACAATCCTGGGTGGCGTGGCCTGCAAATTGTAATCTTGTAAGATTGAACAATCTTCAGAAAGTCCCCACATAAAAACTTCCTCATCACATATACAGATGTCTGCCAAAATGATCGGGTGCATCAGTTCCATACGCGTGGTGTGGGAGGAAGAAATCAGTCCGCTGATGCCGGTGCCAAATGCCGTCGGAAGGGGGAGGTAGAAACCCCTCGCAAACTCCCCAGATGAACAGGCCGCCGTTCCGAGCATTGCATGCTTGATTATTCGAATGTCGAAGGTCTGAATCTACAGTGGATGAATCCCACAAACACGCCCAGAGTAGCAAAGACCTATCCATTGCTGATCATACACGTTTATGCTGGGGAAAAAGGAGATAAATGAAGAAAATCTCCTAATCGTGATGCATCCTAGGATCAGGGCACATTGGTGAAGGGAAGAATATTCAGAAGCAGAAACGAAATTGAGAATAGGAAAGTCATAACATCATTCAATATCGTAAGTCATTGTCCAGTCCGCTGTGTAGCATCACATCACGAAGAGAGTAGGTGAGAAGACAGGCGGTTCACATGAACTAGATATAGGGGCGAAAGAAACATGTAATGGAGACAGGGCAAAGGGGGAAAAGAAGATAGAAAACGGCCCAGATTAACAGATCCTAGTCATAACAAGAGGCAAACCGAAAATCATATCATTAAATCATCATCATTTCAACGCGATAATATATTATATCGCACAAGAAAGGATAAACTCTTCCGGCAACGCATTCCCCTGGCCATTATCGATGACATTCAGGGTCGTCATTCATAACGATCATCCGGACTCCAACTCCTTGCTCTAAGCTGCCTTGCCATCCCTCTCTCCCTCATCTCCCTCCTATGCTTTAAGTTTGCCTTAAACGAATTCTTCTCTGCATGGTGATTGGCTGCATCCTTCCACTCATCAACTACTCCCTTGATTCCAATCGCTGCCAGAGCAATACTCGCCGCGTCTTTCATATTATTTTTGGCACGTTGTCTCCGTGCCTCGTCAGCGCTGATCTCACCGTCACGAAGCTTGGCAATGCGTTCCTTGCGTTTCTTGAGGCTCTTGACGACGCCGTGGCCGGCATGGACGGTGGCGATGGTCGCAAGGCCGGTGGTGAGGACCTCGCGCCTTAGGAGCTTTTTACGAGTACGCTCTTCTGTATCGGTGCTAAGGGAGGAAAGGTTAGAATCAGTGTTATCTCCACCGTAACTGGTGGAATTACGGTGATGGAAGGCCTGTGAAGAGGACCTGGGATGGGGGTGGTGCTTGGGAAGAGCAGAAAATGTGCCAGTGCCGCCAGCGATGGGCATCATGGCGCCTGTTTCGCGGAAGGATGGAGAGGAGAAAGTGGGACGCAGGCGACCTACATCTCTTGAGTAGTTATCGCGGGAATGATTACGCCGGTGCCGCGACCGATGCGCATCCAAATACCCATCATCTGAGTCGGTACCACCGTCATACCGGCGCCTTTCACGGTGTCTGTTACCATGGCTGGAAGATGGCTCGTCTCCTAGTCCCAACGCAGCTAGTCCCTTGGCCAAGTACGCTGAGACACTCTGGCTTCTCTTCTTACTCCCGCGGGAACGACGTGATAGGCCCGGGCTCCCTTCAGAATCAGATGAATAGCCAGACCTTGCCTCACGGCCTCGCGGCTTTAAGCGAAAATGGTCATAGGCAGATTTGCCAGCGGCAGCCAGGAGTCCTGCGGAAGCTATATCTTTAGCTCCGCGACTTTCAGACCGGGCTCGTCCACGAGACCGGGAACGAGGGCCATTGACCAAACGGTTGGTGGCTAGTCCGGCCAAGGTGGACTCGATGAGATGACGTTTGCTGTGCCTATCAGACTGCCCATCAAGGAGCTTATTGACACCACCTGCACCAATAGCCGCGGTCAATATTCGTTTTCCTTTCTCACCACTCCAGCCTCCAGGCTCCTTGCGGGCGCGAATCGCTTCTGCGGCACCGGCAGTCAATGCAGCTTTAAGGGCCTGGGTGATATCCTTCTGGTTATCATTCCGGTCAAGGCTGTGGGAGCGGGAATAAGAGTATGGCCGGCGACGATGGTGGCTTCGAGAACGATCATAATCGCGATCGTAATGGTCACGATAAAATCCACGGTCGCCGTCATGACGCCTTGATGCATGCGATCCGGTGACACTTCCCAAGCCGATGGCAGCGAGAGCCTGCTCGCTGAAAGACTTGCGGCGTCTGGGTCGCGGGGATGGGGTTCGGGAGGAATCACCTGAATATGATCGTCGGGAATGGTGATCACGATCTCGGGCACCTATATATTTTTGTCAGCTTTCCGACGGTCCATTGTAGTGAAATATGCTATCACCAGTGGTATCGCGTTGGGTGAGTTTTCTTTTTTTAAAAAAAAAAAATAAAATAAAATAAAATAAAATAATAAATAAATAAGAAAATAGAAATATATGATTCACTGATGCTGCAAAACTTACGTCGAGTTCCTTCTCCCTGACGGTGTGAGCGCCGATGGTATTCATCTTCCGTATAGCAGTTCCCCCGGCGATCCCGGCCACGCCCACCTAGGGAATTGGTACGTCTCACACTCGGCTCATGCACGGTTCTCCGATCATATATGGCACCATGGCTATTGTCGGGACGGTAACCAGCAGTGGAGAATCCAGGCGGGAAGTCTCGTTGGATCTCTTCAACCTGGGAATCCTCGGTATCATCAGGGCGGACCAAGTCAGTATTGGGGCCCCAACGGTTGTGAGTTGGACGGGGGCTTGCGTGGGACGATTCGTAGAAGTCGGCGGTTTGAGCCCTTCTGCGCTGAGTGTTGTACGGATGGTTTTCGTAGTAGGACGCCATGGCGTTAAAGTATTACTGTTTTCGCTTCGAAGGGACCCGGTGAACTCGGAACGTCTTCGTTTTATTTCTTTTATTGCTTTTGTTTTAAACACGTTGGAACTTAGACTCAAAAAGCAGAAGAGCCTTGAGATGATCCGCAATCCAAATCCAGATTTTCCAGTCTCTGTTGGAATAAATCTATGAATGTTTTTAGCCCTTAATTTTTTTTTCTTTTTTTTCTTTTTATGAAAGATGTTGATGAAGGTTGAAAATCCACCCGAGTTCAAGGCTGATTGTGGACGACGAACAGATAGATATAGTCCGGTGTTGCTCTTGCTGGCCTAGCCTGCAAGCTAGTAATGTGGGGTGTTGCAAGGCGCCCCCTTTTTGTTCGCCTGCTCCTGTACGAAGCCGTGGGCTGTGACAACACATGGACTGCAAGGCTGCAGCGGGATGTTGGGCGATTAATTATATCAAGACTGGCAAAGAATAAGGAGCGAGGACCACAATATCAAGAGTATTCGTCATTTAGGATCTCGGGCAGAAAGTACTCCACGATAAGGTCGCAATGATGTCGGATGACCTCAGGAAAAGAGCAGAGAAAGAATGGAATGGTTTTATCCGCGGGACTAATTATCAGGATGAGTTGAAAGAGGGCGACCGGGTGCGGGTGGTGATTTGATCTAAATCATCAGCTTGCCCGGTCAGATGCAGGGCGAGGCTGACGCGAATTAGCCCAACGGGTGTGGATTTCAAACAGCTCCTCCAAACAAAACGTAGACAATCAATGATGAGAGGAAGATGAAGACATATCGACAATCTATCTATTTATAACTACATGAAATAAACTTATTTATCCAGAAGAATTCCTCCTTGTAACACAATCAGAATCAAAATTTATCATACCGCAGCATATTGTTATAGGTGTTATGCCCGTATGACGTCATAAGCCAAAACAGGGTCCGTCCTAGCCCTAACACGATGATCGTGTAGTTATATGAGGTTCGGATAAATCGACCTTTAAACCAATTATTGGGTAATTCCAAGGGGGAGGGATCGGCGTGGGGGGAGGTCATTGATAGATGTGTCGTGCGCATTGCGATGACTACTCGCCCTAGGTAAGCCACACCCTCCTACTCCTCCTCCTCCTCCTCCTCATTCTTCATTAAATCTAAAGTGTCTGCTGAAAGAGCTCACTGTTTTCCGATCAAAAATCATCTCGTTCAGGATGGGGCCAGAACACGAGACCATCTTTGTGCACACTGAGGAGATGTTGGAGTCCTTTCCGCAATCGTTCAAGGAACCAGATAGCGTTAGATGAGCGTTCAGACACCATCAAATTAGATGGCGTGGATACGGATTACTTCGCTCGATGCTGCATGTATGTTTGTATGGGCGATTGTTCTGAGCCTCAACCGAGATACAAACCCTCCTGCGAAACCTGAGGTAGTCTTCAGTCCGATTATTGCAGACCAATTGTGAAACATGGCAACATTTTCAGCGATTCAGTGGATATCAGCTCGGATCGATGGTGTTTTGGTCGGTAGAATAAGAAGATAACTCATGGCCGTCCAGCAAGTCCGCAAGCTTCCGGTGGCTCCTCATGATCCACAGAGAATACAGTATCAACTCCACAAGTAAGACCAGTTGAATCTTCGGTTTTGAAGAGGGCACCCTCAACCTTGCATCTTTAATGTAGGGGTATTGGCGATGCTTTCATGATTGCATCCGCGTTCCTCCTGGCAAAGTCAAGCGGCTGCCTTCTCAATACCCACTACTCAGAGTCAGAATGAGCCTGTATTGTGGTAGGAAAATTGTACTTACTGGTGAGAGATCATGCAGCCGCTGAGCATGCAAAAGGGATGAGAGCTCATAGTATCGTATATATATCATCTGTACAAACACTTTTGCCATTATGTTTCCAACGACAGCAGAATGGATTTTTGGCCAGATTCCCATGAATTGAATGGTTCCGCTGAAGGTAGTAGTGTTTCAATGGCCGCATACAAGCTTGGACCTTAGCCATGAGAACGAAGGATGGATGACAGCAGGCAGGGTATTGGCGGGTGTTGATGACCGACGAACGTGTTGGTAACTAAATGCTAATGATAGATGCGGCAGATGTGTTACCTAGAAGAGAAACAAGCTACGAAATAGATCCTATTTCCAATCTAGATGACATGAAATATTTAAAATCAAGCAGCCAGCTGAACTCAAAGAAGCAATTTCAATTATTTCAATTATATGGAAAAATAAAAGGAAACGAGACAAAACTCCCAAGTTTTCCAGGCTCCGTCTATTGCTCATGCACACCCGTGTTTATACGTAAATCCAATACCCACACCCTAAAAGCCCTATTCTAACAGATAACAGACCAATCTGCAGAACATCACAGCAAGGAAACACCACAACAAGATCCACAAAGGAAAAAGAAATATCAAAGTTAGGTACACCAAAACCAAGAGGCACTTAATACCGCGCGTGTATAGGGTTTCAATTCTCATCAAAAACTTAGCCCCAAAAACCCAGAAGAACGAAGGCCTTAGTTCACATAATGTCGTCTTACCTAAGTACTCCACATCCATTAAACCTAGCCAGGTTAATGCAATTGTTACCACCGCTATGTTTTATCCCCGGAATCAAAAAAGAAAGAGAGAAGAGAGAGAGGAAAGATAGGGAGAGAGGAAATTCAAGGAATGCACGTAAAAATCCATCCAGGGATGTGATGTCCGCTCGAGTGATATGCTTGTTTCCATACAGATACAGCCATGCTAGAGCAGAAGATGACACGAAAGAAAAAGGAGGAGAGAAACGAGTGACAAACAAAGAGGGTATCGAAGTAATAAGAAACAAAAGGATGCAGTGTCTTCCAAGATGCGGCAAGGGAGAGAAATACTAGCAAATAGAAAAAAGAAAAAAAAAATTAATAAAAATAATTAAAATAAATAAAATAAACCACAAATAATAGGCCAGGGTTTTGAGAGGAGAATGACGGGGTTACAACCAGATCCACCCAGATGAAACGCGGAATATTCCAAATCTTCAGAGGTCGTAAAAGTCGGAGGTTCATGGCATAGTAGCTTGCATTGAAGGATCCATCTCATGTTAGAATCTGAAGCAAGCATGACGCACTCAAGAGGTTGAGGAAGAAAGGAAGTGAGACTCGACGTTCCCTCCCTCTTTACCAGCTGATGATCTGGTGTCCACACCTCTTGCACAATCGATAAGTTACTCACTTTTGTCAAGCCACGGAGTTCCAGTAAGAAGCAGGACCAGCGGAGTTGACAAATTCTTTCCTCTATCTCGTTCAAAAATTCAGTAGTCGAAAGTATTTTTCCACCTGTGCGTCGTGTTTCGGGTTGAGCCGGCTCTTTTCATATTTTCAGAGGTTTTTTATTCTTATTTTAATTTCTATTTTTTTTGGTCGTCTTCGTCCAGGTTTTCCGGATGTATGGGCAATATGGTGAAGCGAAATGCGGAAGGTGGACAAAACAGCAGTGAAAAATACACAAGGAAAAAGGAGAAAGCAAAAGAAAAGAAAGAGAAAACAAATGAACAAGAACCAAATCATCGCAGCTAGTCTTCGCATTTGCCTTCTTCTGGTCTGATTTGTCAAATGCCTATGCGGAGTAATCCTTCTATTGGCATATCAAAATAGCATGAGATGCGATGACTGAAAATGAAGAAGAGTAGGCTACAACGAGCGCCAGGTGTAGGCTGTGTCTCTAAGCCCCACATCATCGTCGGTAATAGCCCATATTCGACTTCGCCGCAGCAATCGCCAGTGCATCCAATCCTCCCGTAATGCTATCAGAGCGGGAAGGGGCCGGTCTTCGTACCGTAGTCGTTTGCGATGCCACCTGGTTTAATGAAGAATAGGGCCGTCCGCCGTGACTGCGGCTGGTGGATCGACTTTTGGGTTCATCCGATCTGTCATCGATAGCAGGGGAAGAACCATGGGACTCGACGCCGAGATATTTATCGCGATCGTACTGCCTTCTCCGGTTCCAGTTCGCTAGAGCGGCATCTTCTTCTTCCTTTTTTAACAACGCCTCTTCTGATACGGATAGACGATGGGTCCGTCGATGTTGCTTCATATTATCCTTTCGAGTAAACGCCTTATTGCAAATTGGACAGTGGATACCCTTTTCGCCCGTGTGCTTCTTGCCGTGCCGTGCGGCGTGCCCGGAGGTTGTGAACGTTGCGGTGCAAGCATGGGATGCGGCATATGGACATGGGTATTTGTTCTTCCTGCTGACGTTGGTCGTTCTAATTTCTCCGATTCCGTTAAGCGAGGTTTGCGGAGAGGCGGGCTCCACATGAGGGATCTCGTTATGAGTAATTTTTTGAATGGAAAGCTTCTCTATCGGATGAGGGTAGGTTGAGCCACGACGGCTGGCAGAAGAATAGGGATTATCGAAGTGGTTTAAATGGGCTTCGTGGCCGTACGAATAGATTGAATGCTCGATGTCTCCATGGTGCAGTCTTGAATCTAGATGATTAGCCGGAGGGGATCCGGGGGAAAAAACATGTTGGTCTCCACGCATATTTTGATATCCACCTTGCGGGGGCAATTGGCGAACCTGCTGGTTGGTGAATGCCACTGCTTGCGGCCGATATTTCACTGGATTGATGGGTCGAACCGCAAAAGATGGGTTATCGTCGTTGTTTAAAATAGATATCATTTTAGGTTTGCGCTGGTCCATATCTTGGTCTATTCCACTCTTCTGCTGTGGGAATCCCTCAATTATAAAACTGATATGCCCTATTCACAGACAAAAAATTGGACTAGGTATCTAGATCGACACGTTAGAAGACCGCATGAAATAAAGTTAAAACAGATCCACGTACCAGCTTTTTAAAGTCGGTATATGTCTTTGATTTGTGTAACTGCCCCCGTGGGGACGATGTACAGAGCTCGTTGTCCGCTCACTGAACTGTATGAAGCAAAATTCGAGCTTGAGATTGGGTCGCGTGGAGTTCTGCGGTCTCCGATAACTGACGAAATCTCCCGCGAGAAAAGGGGTCTTGCGGCGGAAAGAATTACAGGAGGAAAGATATCCCCAAAACGATAGATCCGGAATATGGGAAGTTTAGAAATTGGGGTCGTAGTTGAAGTAGGGTCGTTTTCCGAACAATATATCACCATTGACAATCAAGAACAATAATAATCAGGGTCGAGGCTATCAAGGGAAAAGGATTGGAAGGCCGCGGGAGCACAATCTTGGACAGAAATTGGAAACCAGTCCAAAGCAGGTTGCAGCACAAATGACAGAGAAGGTTCGTGCACACTCAGGTTAAACACAAATCATGGAGCAGAATGATATAGATCAATAGGAGTCATCGAAAGGAAAATAAGTAGAGCGGATAAAAAGGACGGGTTGGGGAAGAAGGTCTATGTATGCAAGCGCAATAATCAATGCTAAATACCACCAACCAAAATTTATAATAATAATAGTAGTAGCGGTAGTGTAGTAGTGTAGTAGTGTAGTAGTAATAATTTAATTAATTATTATCTTTCTTTTCTTGACTTTTTCAAGGAAAGATCCACGTAGAACGCTGGTGCAAGGAGGGAAGGCTAACAGCTCAAATATGACCCAGAAATTATCGGAGACGTGGAGGGGGGAGGGGGGCACATAGTCTGTTTTGGAGGAGGGATTCAAGATGAAACAAGATGGTGGAAGACGATCTAGAGGCGTCTTCTACTGCCGGATCCATGGAGAAGAACCATGTAGATATATCGTTAGTGCTGGAGCAGAGTGTAATAATGATAGTTGAACTAGAAACGAAAGAACCCTCAGCGACGTTCTAGGGAGTCAGATTTGCGCCAGGGGCTATCCCATCTTGCCCTGCTGCTATTGACCAGGAAAATGCGAAGCAAAAGCAAATAACAACAGGAAGAAGACACGCGTGGGGGGGGGGGGGGAAAGCAAGGCGATTACCATAGACTCAGAGCAAAGGAACTCCAGCCTCACTGTGTTATGAATCTGATTCCACCTCTGGCTCTAGACAGAACAAATACTGGATTATCACAGGATTCCGCACATTTCCAAATGGTAAAGAGTTTTGCACCCTGCTGCTGCTGCTGCTGCTCATTCTGGGAACTGCTGAACAGCCTCATCCATGATTTTTCTTTCTCTTAAATGAACGAGGTTGAAGAAGCGATCAACCCATTGGTCACACTCCCGATCAAGTGCGAAAACAAAAGGAAAAGGAAAAAGAAAATAGCATCCTTGCTGGTGTGTCAAGCAACTGCAGCGGTCGTTAAGATGTTGGGAACCAAGAACTGAAAGCTGAAGCTGTTAGGGGAAATGTGATCCACAGATGTGTGTGGCGTTAGAAGACACATGGTAATTCATGGTTCATGGCTGCAGACCAATCTCTTTCAAGGTTTTGCCCATCGCGTTGACAAGCAAGGGATGATTATTGGAATCAACACGATGAGCTAGAATTTGTTTTGCGGGCACCGCAAGCCACTTGGGGGGTGGGGGGGGTTGGGTGGAATTGAAGCATCCATCAAGCCCTCTCTTGTCGCCAGGCATGACGACAATCCACAGTTGGCTTCATCCCTTGAACCATCGGGATTTGGGGGGGGGAAGATCCGACGACTGGGTAACAGTCGCGTAGGGTCTAATTAATTAGCAAACGCCCTCTAGGTGAGATTAGTTCCGGATCAAATTCCAGTCAATAACGTGGTTTTCGAGCACCTAGTGGGTTAGGGCTGGTTTGGCGGGGCGGGTAGGGGAGAAAGTGCCCATTTTAGCGGTCGTCCGGAGCGATTATCACTAATATGATTAAGGGATCCGAATGTTCTTGGTGGTCCCTGAATGCTGAAGCATAAATTCATTACCTTGTTGCTCCGTTCAGGCGGACGGAATAACCTCCAGTGCTCTCTTGCAACGCTCGCAAAGGATGCAGTTAACATAGGTCTGGTCCCCAAAATTGATGCTTGAGCTTACATATTTATCTCCAGACTCCCAGGAGTATTTTCATTCCCCCGGATGGGCTCCTGTTATTTGTTGTTCTTCCTACACATATGTTTTACTTGGCAATGCAATGGTAACTCACCTGTTGCTGTGCATGCATGTACGTATAACTTAGTTCAACAGGCTATGAAAACCTGCTGTCATTCAGCCCCCCGACCCTTATAATCCTTGGGATTCGGGTGACCCACCCCCTGTTCACTTCAAGTTCATCTGCTCCCCCAAATCAGGGCGATCTCGTCATGGACAGCAGAATTAGAATACAAGGGTCCATGTCGCGTGTGCCAAATGTGATTTTGAAAGGTGACAAAATTCCTATCCATCCAAGGCATACAAAGGTACGGAGGACGGAGGGCACTAACATGTTTTAATCGCATTTCCCAGCAGCAAGCAAGTAAATACTCTCTGTAGTGCTGTGAGCCTCTATTCCTCATCGCCATCTTCGCCGTCGGACAATGTGAGAATCACAAATTTGCCCCGCAGAATCCCACTGATGGAGCTGTTCGTTCCTATCTCCGTTTCAGCCTTACCAGTCGAGAAAGCGGAGTTTTCCGTGCCAGCAATACAGAGGTCAAAGATGGTTCAGCCGGGGTGTGTGTTTCCTGTGCTTTTGTAGGTCCTGTGTATATGTGTGTGCCTAGGTATACGTACAGTAGATAATGCAACTATCGCACATGAATCCAGATGAAACCGTGATCTGGTGGGTTGTACAACTCTTCTCCTTGCCAACTTGACCATCGTATCTGCTTAAGCCCCCTCGCCCACTTTCATGGCATGACACGCCCCGAGAGAAGCTGCATATCGGAAAACTGTGAGCATGTGAGATATGTGCAGGACAAAGACATCCACAATATCAATTGTCGTGCCATGGACATGAATTTTCGACTCGACCTCCCTTTTTTAACTCGGAGCGTGGGAGCCATGCGTATTCGAGCTCACACTTCCCATGGAATGGAAAGATCCTGCATTTTGGCCCCTGGCTGCGAAAAGAAATACTTAGATCGTGTGATCCATTTCTTAGATTTCGGAATTTTGGCCAATGATTCATCCCTTTATCAACTTCCGTAATCGACATTGAATAGCCGACTTCATCTGGCATCAAACCGTGTTCTGCATTTCTGGTTCCGCTGCCATGCCATTTTCAGACGTGATGAGTCTAAAGAGCTTCCGATCTGCAGGAGCCTCGGGAGTGGGGTATGGACTTCTCGTCATTCGGCGCCAAAACAAAAACAAGTCCCTGTTTTCCTTTTCTTTCTTTTTTCTAGGGGTTGCGCTTTTGGTGGTGATTGCATCCAAGAACTCGTGTGAAGTCCACGAGGCACTCAGGCAAATCATCGGAAGCTAGATTGATAGTTGGCTTCTGCTACCAGCGAATGTGATTATACATACTTCCTCGATGGGTAGCGGTTTGTCCTGCGCCTTTCCTTTCACTATTGCCCGCCGCTTTCAGCCCATCGGCAAATCGGTATTGGGAGGGAAGATTTCCATGTATGGACAGTGCTCCGTCCATAACAAGGCCCTTCTTCCACCCTGACAGTAAGTGATAACTGATTGCGAGAGTTTAACTATACTCCGCTAGTCGAAACCGAATGCCGATCTGGCCTAACTATTCATCCACTACGCCAGATTAGCCAGTTCCAATAAATGCCAATTGGGGAGAAGGCTTTTATGGGATTTTTACAATTCATTTCCAAACAGAGGAATGCCATGATGATGGGTGTGGTTAACCCAGCTACCCGCAAAGCAATCGCTTGTCTGCTTTGATGCTGATAATTAAAGCCCTCTAGCCTGCGCATTCTTCTACGAGACACCAGACCCACACAACCAAGTATCAAACGAGCTGCAACTGTTATTGCGGGTTTCATTAATACTTTGCCTGGCAGTTTCGCAATGCAAGAGGTAAAAATGAATCTGTCGGATACATCGAAGGACACCTCACAGTGACCGCGAATCCTCTCTTTGCGTCAAAGAAGAGCAATAAAAATGAAAAACAAAAAGAAAGGTGGGGTTTTTATAAAGGACACAAATCAACGGCAAAAAGATTTCCGTTCCAGTACCAACCCAAAAACACGGTTAATGACAAGGTCATCGAAAATTACAATGGCCAACCCAAACAAGACAAGAGGGCGGACCGGGATCCAGACGTTGTGTCAATCCTTCAAAATGGCATGTTAGCAACCCAACATCCCAACGTAACCTCTTTGTTCACGGAGCACCAATATAGCCATGGGCGATGAAACGGTGTTGTGTTTGGTGGAGTAGGAGGCTCACAATTTTACGTCCAGGTTGCATGGGGCTCTGCTGCCTGCTACCCGGCACTGCTCAAGGGTTTCTTCACTAAGCCGCAAATCAGTATCAAAACCCTTTACATTCCCATGACACTTCATGTAATATTATATATGGCAATGCTGCGTAATGTTAACAGGAGATAAAAGGAACCCCCAGCATCTACTCGCAGGAGAGTTTCTGACATGGTCTGAGGACTGACTGGTAACCTCAGCCGCTCTATCGTCAACTATTAGCACCTGGGGAAATTGAAACACCGAACAATTTCAGAAATTTTCCCACCTCACATGCATTTCGTATTCGGGTCATTTGTTTGCTCCCACTCATTGTCGGCGTCGGGTCCCAGTCCATAAGCTGACACGGATTTTGGATAGTGTTCAAGAAAGGGAAAAATTGCATGACAATCATTGAACTAAATAAAGTTCAGGGTCGCAATCAGGGTCTCCTCCTTCCCATGTCATGGATCTTATCACTTGACCGCTTACTTCAAAAAGTAAATGTTGCGGTAATTAGTTGGCATTCAGGGATTGCTAACGGGTCTTCCTACGAAGGGCTACGGTGGTGTATTTGTAACAATTCTCTACCTTTCCAAGGTTGACCATCGTGGGACCTCATTCCACGCATATTCCCCGAACTCAGGATATCGTGTGGAACACATATAAAACCATCCACGGTATTAGTCCTTTCTAAGGCAAAAAAAAAAAAAAAAACCCATCTGGAGTATTAGGGGATATCCATCAATTTTCTGAAAGATTTCCAAGAAGATTGAAATATTGACTAAGAACTTACAGATCTCTGTTGGTAAAAGGACAGGGAAAAAGCAGTTAAAACATGAGACGCAGCAGAAAACAGAGACTCTTCAAGGACCGGGAATGCTGCTTTTTCTCCCAGATGCTCAGGCATAAGTTTCACCCTGAAACCTGATAGTTCTGATGGCACCCAGCACATTAATAAACATTTTCGATAAATGAGTTGTTGTCAGTTTGCCTGGTTTCTCCTTCTCCTCTTTCTATTAAAGTGGACCACATTCATTTCCATGTTTGAACTATGGCAGTTTTCTTCAAACTGTCTAAGAATATTTATTAATTGTGTCTATATCTGCAGGCTTAAAATGGTTGTGTATCGTCCATACAGACGTGAAAATGAAATCAATCTGAGGGGGTTGTGTAGCTTAGTGGAAAAGAGAAAATTATTCAACCGAGGCTTTTTTTTTTTTCCACAATGCTTTTGTATGCTGTCAGAGTATGAGCTGAGTTTGTGTGCCATTTACTGGGCAGCAAACGGTGAGTGATTTAGCGCTGATTTTCCATCATTCATGAACCCTCGATTGGGCACTTAGGCACCCGTCACCTCCCTGGAGTTTCTGACGTAATCATTTGATCCGTTACATCCCTTTGCGATGTGAGCATAGCTTCGTAAGATGGAACAGTTTACATTCTCAGTGTCTATTCAATACACCCATAGAAATGTGGTCGTGTCATATCCATAGACATCTTGAAACGAGCGTTATATTGAGGGCTTCATCTAAGACGCGCGAGATCAAATTAAAAGCTGTTGTGCTTAAGAAAAAAAACGTTGGAGATCTAGCCCACAGATATTTGAAGGATTTTGGCTAGTAAGTAAGTTACATGATAAATGCCTTCATTCTCCAATGGTGCTAGAAGACATCTAGAATCGTTCTTTCCGCTAATCACCGTCATTGCCTGTTCCCTCGTTGATTTTCTATATCGTGTCCACTGGCCGTCTGAAACAAGCCACAATTCTGATCTACAGATAGCTATTTGGATATGATAACAACAGAATCCTTCAAACCAAGACGAGGAAGCCACTGCTTCCATTATTCAGTAAATATAGTTAGTAATCCAGGGCTGCCTTTCTCCCAGTAGCTGCTTGGTTGTTCGGAGAACTAACCCTCCGTGTGTAAATCATATTGCAAGCCACTACAAACGGAAAGACAAAGGGGATTTAATCAAAAGCAAAGAGCCGTGAATTCCAGTGCATTGGAGGGAGCGCAGGGTAATGTAATTATTCTTGCAGTCCGGCGGTAAATGAGAACTTGTAACTCCAAATGGTCAAGGAAATAGTCCTCTAACTTTCCCAGAAGCATGTTCCCTGACTGACAAAGTACCGATTTTGTGTAAATTTCTTCATGAAAAGGTCCCTCAACGTGTATCACATGGCCTCGAGAAACCCCCATCACCATCCTGGTATTCTTTATTTGCCTTTTCGGCCGGGATGGTACTTGCACCATTAAAAGCTACGTGGCCAGAACCAGCCTTTGCCGGTATCCGTGACGCTATATTTGTTATTGATTGGCGTCACTACTAGGTTTAGGCAATTATAAGAGACACCGTTAAAGATGAGATTGATGATATGGAAAGAATTTGGAGAGCGCATTTGTGAGCAGTTAACTCAGGAACTTGGCATCCCAAGATGTAATGTATGTGTATACACATACCCCTTACAGCACAAACTGGCTGACTCGAGCTTTTTCCTTTGCTAGCAATCGGCGCTTGATAGGCGGGAAGCCTCAATCAGCCTGTCGTCTGGTGCAGCACAAACAATAAAGCACTAAGTACAGGGGTTGCAGGGACGCAGATTCTGTGTCATCACGAAACCCACCCCAATTAATGCAGAAAAGTTGGTTTCCTCAGGGCTCTTGGCTCATGCAACGGGTTACATATTCGAAGACAGATCTTACCTTCGCTCCACGTTTTATACAATTTCGGCGCAGAAATATGGATTGCTTGATCAAACAAGGCCAATCTTGAAATCCCGAGGGGGCTGAAGTCAGGTTACCCAATAAGAATGCGGCATTGCCAGTGGGAGAAACCCTGAAAAGTGGGGCGTGTCCACTTTACTCACCTTAAAACGTGGCCGCTAAACCAATAACACACTAGCCCTTAACTTTCCATCCTTCCATTACTTCTAGAAGAAGCCTAGAAGAAGTCTAATTAGACGAAGGCTATTTAGATTCTCCGCCCACCTTCTAGACCTCTGCCATGAAACGCCAAAGAAAATAAATAGGGTCTGCGTAGCTACCATACTATATGATTTCCCAAAACCACTCGAAAAATCATGAAGAGAGAGCTTAAGGAGCATCTCAGTGCAAAAAGCCATTCAAAGCCACGTTCCATACAAAGAAGCGCACCTTGATCAGGCGAAGATTCCTAAGCAATCCGAGTGGGCCGGGGAACCAAGACGAATAGCTTCTCCATTCCAATACAATCCAGCTTATTTCCCTGGGAAAGCATGTACCCCGCTGACTGCTCCACGGTCTTGTGCATTATTATGTCAAATATCGGAGAAGGTGCTGTAGGATGGAAAATTATCCCAGTGACGTCGTCTGATCTCATTCCCACTTAGTTCTCCGTAAGGCTAAGTACTATTTTACTGCACATATTGGAATAATCCACAGTTAAAACGCATGGCTTGACATAAATCAACACTTGAGTCAAATACGTGCTAACACTATTCAATAATTATTTAATAGCAGTATATATGTGGACAATTAGGGTCTTTATTCCCCCCATGATTCAGAATCAAATCTGAAAGAATGGATGTCATCCCACCAACTTATCGCCATATATTGTTTCATCCAAAGTCACTCCGATCCCCCTCGTATCAAAGAGCTGGGCTTACTGTTGCGCATAATGGCAGTTTCATCAGTGGCTTAGTCCACAAGGCCCCTGTCGATATGTGCAAAATATTCGATGTGGTATTCGAGGCAAACATAAACGATTCTCACAGTTCGATTTGCTTTGAAGAACATTATGCATTCATCTGGTTCAGTGATAATAGATGTCCCTTATTCTCTCAAACAATACCAAAAAGATGCAATCATACACCCTGAAGGATAGCCGCGCTTCTGGGTGAGTGATATTTTTGTGAGCGAGGCATTCCGCGTCCTTCTTTGGCTGTCTGCCAACAGCGCCAAAGGCGCATTCGGCAGTCCGGGTTTCAATGTCACCTTCTCCTTTGGAACTAGGACACAACTGACTAGCTCCGGTAGATGATGCTTGGGTCCACCGCGAGGGAAGGGTGATCCCTCCACTTTCTTGCTGGGTGCGAATAGGAGTAAATAGGTTATGCTTCCACACTAATTCATGATTTCCACTTTGATCAACTTACAACAACTATTTCTGGCTTCTGAGCCAACATCGATCATGAATTAGGTCTCTTATTTTCAGTTTTCAGACCTGATATGCACATGAAAGCCGTCATTATTAAAGATATGCTGCAACAAGCATTCTCAAAAGAGAGATCTCAGATGGAAAGTACATGGTTTATTTCATTACAGAGGTTTAACCCACGTTTTATTACACAGCTTGGCATCTCACCTACTGGTTTTTATCAATCATCCAAAAGGGCGTGTGATAAAAGAAGTGCCATTGTAGAAATTGGATTCGGACATTCCCAATAATGTTCAAAGAACCAAGAAGTAAAGGGAATTTGGGCATGAAGTTCAAAGAAATCAACCCATGCATGCAGCTTTTGAGTGACACAACAGAAAAGCCATGGTATTACCAGGCAGTGCTGCAGGGGCTGCCAACATCTGAAGCCCAAAAAAAGGATAATCCCCACAGCGTTTCTGTCTCTTATTTTTATTTTATTTTATTTATTTATTAATTTTTTACAAATGTCTACCCCTTTCCCCGCGTTTTACCTGCTTTTATGCAGATGGGTCACGTCTTCAATCGTGCTTCTCTTACCCTCAGCCCCAGCTAGTTGCGTTTGAAATCCCCAGTCGAGCATGTCGTTTCTTTGACAACATAGACTTTGCCAGACCCTGGACTAGTCCAACTAATTTCTTACATCACGTATTTTCCGTTCCTTAAGCCGTCGAATTCTGGCTGCGCTTGAATAGGCGAGGATCGCTTGAGCCTTAACCAATTATGCCGAAAGTCTATGTCATTTCCTGCATCCACGTACATCATGGTGCAGGGTAAGAGAATCGAGTGGGTCCATCTATCTGAATCCTCTCACCTTGCCTCAATGGGGAAACCAACAGCATCCGCGCCACTCTTCTCCACACGGAGAAATCCACTGGCAAACAAACCTTGGAGGGGATGGCTGAAACGCATCCAGAAATTTCATGTCCAGGGTCCCAGGTTGCTTAAGCTCAACCCACAGATTATCGGGGCATGGATCCCCAGCAATAGCTACTCTTGAAGCGGAGATAAGCGAACTGCTTGCAATATCCCGCTGTCTTCCTGAGGAAAAACACCCTTCAGCCCCCCCCCCCCCCCCCACAGTCAACGTGGATTATGGAGAAATATTATTCGCAAGAAATACCACATACATGATAGGGCGTATAAGGTGGACGATCATCGCCAGTGTCTAGCTTCAAATGGCAGCTACCAAGAACGCCTTTAGAAAGCAAAAGAATCAGGATACGAGAAGAGGGGCCTGGAGGGCAAAATATCTAGATCCAGTCTCAACAATTGGCTCATTGCTGGGCCCTTGGATTTTAGTCGTAAATCGAAGGAGCAAACTAATCTTGGATTTTTGGGTAAAAAAATTTTTTTTTTATTTTTATTTATTTATTTATTTTACACCGTTTAAGGGTACTGAGCTTGAAGCTTTCTAAAGTGCGGAACCTTTCCCGCATAACTTTTCTTCGGCTTACTCCCTTTCTATCGCCTGCAAATGATGTTTAGCATTATCTCTTGAGACGGTGGAGTGGCGGAACGAGCACCAACGTTGCATTGCTAGCTCCAGATGTCTCTTGGTCAATCCATCAACTGTCTTGCTGAAACTTTGCATCATCTCCTCTCGCCGTCTGAAATTTTCCAATCAAATGCGACAGCCATTCAGGCAAAGACAAGAAAATGGCGTATCTTGACAGCAAGCAGCGCCTCTCTTGGCTCTCCGGTTTTCGTTTCTATGTGGTTTCACCTAGAAGATTCAGATTCAGTAGGAAGAATTGTAGGGAGTATGGAACTCCGCTTCCATCCTCATGGTCCGAGTAAGACTAATATCGGGATTTGTCTTCGGTACTTTCAAAAACTTGACCCTCATTCCCTTCATATTCTTATTTTCTTAACGAATGATCTTTCGTTAAAAGGGACCTTGCTCATAGCAAAACTCAAGATTTGATATTATTTACTAGGATCTTTACCCCACCTCGACAGAGGCAAATAATGGCATAACTTCTAACGAATCGGAGGTCATGGATGTATGAAAAGAAAAAGGCCTCTAGTCCCACTTATTATTCCCCTCTTTCTTAATTTCATACTTTCTCAATTAATCTGCCCCATCCTGATGGTTAGATGGACAAACAGGGCCATGCTCTGCAATTGTGCCGTCCGATTCAATAGGCACGATGTCTGTTGCATACTGACCCGGGGTATTTTGAGAGAAAAAAGAAAATATATTGGCAACCTTTCAATATTCTGATTAATTTTTCTGTTATGGTTATATTATAATACTTGCTGACTGTTGAGGTTCTGCTTTTCTTTCTTTGTGGCTGCTTATTTCGTCTGGCCAATTGTGTTAATAATTTATTTCAGTCATTTATTCTCACTGGTTGTTTCTCATGCATTCTTCCGCCTACATTGCAGGTGTTAGACGCAGTCTTCCCTGAGATGAGAACCCCCTTCAAGATGTGAAAATATCCTTTCTCTCTTGGCACCCCGCATTGTTGAGCGAGCCGAACCTCCAAAAATATGAGGTCTGTAATTACCTCTGGGGTTGTTCTTGTGATTTATTAGCCTCAACTTGCCAGAGTTTGGGTGTTGATTGATGACAATCAACTAGACTTGGGAGCTCGCAAAATTATCACTGAATATTGTTCTTCTTTCCGTTTGTCGACGCGGCAACCACACTTTCCACATCATCATCACCATCATTCATAACCCTTTGGAGACTCAGGGAGAACTGGATGAGAAGGCTCAGGCCTCTTGCTAACCCTATCTTGTCCCGCCCAGCGCACTCTCACCAAAGAGCGCCATCAAATCATGTGAGAGCATGAGAATCCCATCTCAGCTTCTGGCTACCCGGGGCTCATTCAGTTGATGATTATAATGACTCCTTAGACGGCACCAATTTTGCATCTAGCTGCATGCGCTTTTGTGCAGAACGATAGACATCAAGCAGCTCCCGGAATTCACCAATGGGCTGCGCTTTGTAGCAAGCAGTAAAGGAGGACCACGCAAAACTAGACACACTATCCTAGAGAGTCCTTGCTTCTTCGTTTGGTCACAAGAAATTGAGCTTCAGGGATTGGATGGGCGGTCTGAGGGACGGTTGGAGATCCAAGTCCAACTCGAGCATTCAACGAAAGTTCAGCTAGTGATCTGAAAGCATTGAGGGTTCAGCCACGATGCCTGTGTTTCCGCAAGTCATGCCGTTATCCCTTTTGCCTTTCATTTTCGTCTACCATTCTACCGGCACGTCCTCCATGTTCTATCTCCTATTGTGTAATGTAGCAGTTGGGCTAAACAAAATAGAAAAGAAAATAAACGGGTGAAGAATGAAAAAGGGAAAAGAAAAAGAAAAGAATAAGAAAATTTGGATATTACTCTTTCGATTCTTGATTCCATATAACTATTTTCAGAAAAGGGCAGCATAAAGACATCCCCGCCTTGTGGATTAGGTTCGATTGTTACTTCTACTATTCATATGGGTCAGCGACAACAGGAGAAGATTATCATACCCATATCATACTTTCTCACGGGCTCCAAACATTACTATTTCCAATACTGTTCCCCTCGTTTCCTTCTTTCTCCTTGTTTCTTGCCATCTGCAAGCCGAAGACGAAAATCGGTTCATAAAATATTAGCCACGGCATCATCAGTGAAAAGTCAAGCTAGGCAGCAACGATTAAAATCAAAAGCAACAGACATCTAAGTAGTCATTCAAATAAGAAGCGTATGGAATTCCTTGTCTCTACTTATTTGATATGAATTTGTATCGAAGTGAATCCCCATTGAGAAGTTCAGTTAAACAAACCAAAGTCAAAAAAGCGGCAAACACTAAAAGGAAATACCAAATATTTCTTTTAAGGATCTTTTTCCTCCTGCTCCTGACCCATGTTCCATTTCATTCTTACAAACATGTCAAAGCGAATGACACACACACACACACACACACACACATGGCTGAGAGAAAAGACGACAAGGAAAAAAGGGAATAACGAAATAAGGAGGTTCATTCAAACTCATTTTAGGTATGAATCTAGAAGACACATAGGTAGACGGATAGAAAACATCTTTGACCCTTCAGCTTACAGTATAGTGTAAGGGAATCAAGAAGAAAGATACAAAATTGTAATAAATGGGGGAGGGAATTGGATATGGACGGAAAGTGACGGGCGGCCAAAACACAGAGAGGGAATGCGAATACGAAAGACGATAAAAAAATAGCTGCATTCCAGGATATGCAACGAAAAAGAGACATTGAAGAAGATTGGATACATTAACGGAAACCCGTCTAACGAATTCGAGTGAGACGGCCAAAGAGAGAGGAAGAGAGATTGGGGTAGAGAGATAATGCCAGTGGTTTTGACTAATGGTGGATGTTTGAGTGATATTGTATATATACTGCATGAAACTGACTGCCGGTCTGACCCAAAAAAAAAAAAAAAAAAAAAAAATCAAATAGTGGTAAGAGAAGAGAAGAAAAGAAAAAAGAAAAAAACAAACACAAAAATAAAGAAAAAAAGTAGGTAAAAAGTCAAGAAAATAGAAGGTATTACTGATACAAAGAATTGAAGTAATTAAAGAACTGAAAAGGAGAGAGACGCAGCTGGTCATGTGGGGGAAACCTAGTAGAAGCAGTAACACCAATTAGAATGATAGTACAAAAGTGAAAACCTTCATCAGAGTGGGCGTTGGTATCGAAGACTAGAGAGGTCTACCGATCCATAAAATTGTGGTTGCGTATGGATCACGGTGCAAGGGAAAGTATTTGGATTTGGTTGGATGGATGGGGATTTATTGATGGCAGATTGACAGGGGAGGGAATATCGGAAAATTTCAAGATTAACCGTTAAAGGAGGAAGATAGGACCAGAAATTTACTGGCCATATGGGCAAAATGATGTTCGACGACCTATCGTGCGGCGGCGCCAAGGTTAAGCCAGCTTATATCTGAGTTCGCGGCCTTCTGAGGCTGTGAGTGGTCTCGCGATTGCGACCTCGAAACCTCTTGATCATTACTTGGCCACTGGGTCAATGGACGTTCCCGCCTTGGCTGAGTCGATAGACCAGGCGTCTGGTACAAGCTGCTAGAATAATTGCTGCTTGGAACTCGGTCGTCGCGGAAATGGTCTCCCGTGGAAGGCCAGCCTGAGTTTTCGTGTATGCTTGCCGGGACGCCGGAGGAGTACTTGTCGTCTTCATAGTAATCAGAAACGACGCTGATGGAATCTCCGCTAGAGATTTTTGCCTTCAATCCCTGCTGGATGACAAGCGTTTCGCCGAATTTTGGTGGGTGCTCAGTGCTGGGGCTGCCCGAGGGAACGCGACCGACATTTTGAGTTTGAACATTTAAAGGCGTGACGTCCGTCGAGAGCTCAGGCCATCCGCTGCTCCTGTAGTCTGACTTGGACATTAGGGTAGAAGCGGACGACCTGGGAGATATACTTCCACATATCTGCGTATCATTGTCGCCCTGGAAATATTTACTCCATCCTTCATCGGTGCGTCGATCGCCTCGAGTAGCATCCTTGTCCCCAGAAAGTGGGGTCGAATTCTCACCAGGAAGGTTAGTTGTCTGTATTTGTCGAAGAGGCCCTCTGCCCGTTTCCTTTTCCGCTAGCCCCAGCGTTGGACTGGGCCGTGCAGGAGCAGCAGCTTGGAACGGTTTGTCAACAAGTTGACCAGACATAATCACCCATGAATCGGCTGACGGGACGGGTCCTCTCGCGATCGGCTGTATGGAGCGTGTCAATGGCTCCATTCCTTGATCTTGGAAGCTTAATCGGTCCTTATCCTCCTGATATCCATTCTTGCCCCTCTTCATGAACCGATTCCGTCGCTTTCTCCAACCGATGAAGAGAAGAACGAATATCAGAACTGCTGCCAAACCCAAAATTGCTCCAAGAGTTGCGCCAACTATGGCCAACGTCCTCTTGTTGGAAGTATTGCGTATTAGCTCAGAGGAGCCAATAGAGGAAGAAGTCGACGTTGGCTCAATCGATGCAGACGAAGATGGAAACGTCGAAGTGGT